ACTAGCAGTCTGGCTGTACCAAGGACATCGCACGATGCAAGTTGCTGACGTAGTGCTAAGGGCATTATTGTGAAGGGGTCGGAAACCAGAGCGCGATGATGATCTACTAGTTCGTTGAGGTACTGGTTGAGAGTAGGATTACCGCTCGAGAAGGTTCTCATTTCTTGGTGGTGATCAATCACATGCTGGACCAATCTGGCAAATACAGCAACTCCACCCCAGATCGTCTCATAATCATGAGGAATTGTGGTGATTATCCGGGCCATCTCGGGGATAGTGTTGGCGCCCAGCAACTTACGTGCCTTGAACTGAGCCTGGAGATCACCCTCAACATCATGATAGCGCGGCTGAGAGTTTATGATATGCATGATCCAATCCTTGAAGTCGGGTGATAGATCCATGAGCGTGTCGCATACTAATATGACGACGGGCTGTACTCTCAGACCGCGGTAGTTGACTTGCTGATTCCAGAACTCCAGACTGCATTTGGTTGGATCTTGAAGCAGGACAGCGTCAAGAATTGCCACTACTTCAGCCCAAATTGCTTCAAAATCTGGCAAGACTACCTTGACCGTCCCCGTGGGTAGCCCCAGCAACCTGGGCTGCAATTCTGCCCATTCTTTCGTTGCTGACAGCCTGATGATCAAGCGTGATGCATCAGAAGTGGTGGCATGGTATGATAGATATGAGTCGAGCAAGTCGCAGTAAGAACTCAGAACACTGGTTGTCGCCTCGAAATATCCCCGTAAAGGACGGAGACATGTCTCTAGACGAGTCATGGGTAAGAGTGCCGGGGTAACAGCTACCGTTTCCATCTCCGCCAGGTTCTTGGAGAATCTAGCCCTCCGTCAACTGGAGTGTTAGGGCGAGGGAGCCTTCTAAATGAGCCCAAGATTGGGTTAAGCAAAAGAAAACCCTTTACAGGCAGCTGACTCAGGTGAGCGTCGCGTGGTAAGAAAAGTCTCTCTTTCACCTTGTGTTCCACCGCTTCGTCAAACGTATAGGCGTTTGCGTAAGGCTTTTCTTCACCAGCAGCGCAAACGTGTCGAAGGTGCCCTCACTCTCACTTGCAAGGCTCTGGTGATGCTACACTTTTGGCATTCTGCTTAGTATCGAAGACGCTTTGCATGCAGCTACCATGACTGTGCATTGAAGAGCGAAGGTGAGCATCAGACCAACGGATTGTATCTGTACTCACCGTAGTCTTGTGCAATAACCTCTTGCTTCTTTCACAGTTCATCAATCAGAGAGGATCTCTTGTGCTAATGTCCAACATACCTCTTCGAATACTCTTTCAAAAAGATAATGATCTTTAAAAGGGATTGTCGTCGCTAACCTTGCGGTCTTTGAGCGACTCTCAAGCCAGTCATGAAAGGCTTCCGATGAAATAGTGTCTGAGAAGAAAAGCCTGGATGTCTAGCTCCATAAGTGGAATACGAAGAGAAATCGCGTGCAGTGTGTGCTTGAGCAAATTCTGCCGGTGGGCTGTACTGTCCAAACGAAGAATCAGCTCTCTATGCTCAAACTATTACGTAGGTTCTTGCTCCCAACATTGTGATTGGTGATTACCTAGCTAGGAAGCCAAGTCGTTGTGACTGGTACTGCATGGCATGTATTCTGCTCAAAACACCCCTGGCCATAATGGCTGTGTCCCATATTCTGCGCTGTCAGGAGTGAAAGCGCCACGTCGTCTCGCTTTCGGGTTAAGGTTGAAGCTAGCGTTGATGATCAGCATTGGCTAGGAGGCTCCGCGGTAGCGTAATGACGTTGCCAGTTAAAACCTTTCCCTTTCCGCAGTCAGGCACACCAAAAACAGAGCGACTAACGCCATGCAGCCAGAACGCGGGTTTCCAACTTTCGCATCATCTTTCAGGCAAACTCGATCTGAATGCGGGACGCAGCGCCGTCGATCTCAATCAGCCGGATCGACGCATGAATCTACCCGACTCGTTCCATGGGCATATGCAGTATCGACAACATGCCGATTTCCAGACCTAATCCTAGTCAACATCATAGCGCAATCGGCGAGTTCACTGAATTCTATGTACAACATGATGACATAGGTATCGCTAGAACAATCAGAATACTGTGCAAACTTGGCACGCTGCAATGAAGTCAGCCGATGTCGACGAGCCTTAGATCAGCCCCTGTTCATCATGCGCGTTCGGCGAGGACTAGCACAAATTCTCCGTCCTACATCAAAGCCGACGCTATGATTCCACCTGCCGATGCTGCAAGCTACTGCATAGTGCACCAAGATATGCTGCGTCAGTCAGACGAAATTGTCCGATATTATTACCCAGACATTTTCCCATTCGTAGGAGACAGTCTCGTCGTAGACACTTACTTTTTAGCAATATACTATGAAAATGTCTGGATCTGTAGCTTTACTCCATACAGTTCTCACGAACTTTCTCAGCAGCTCATCTCACCATGGTCCTCTTCTGGTCACAGCAGAACTCATTTGCCTTTGGGGCTTGACCAGACCGCCTGAATACTAACCGTATCTACCGATCGAAAAACCTCCTTTCTCATCGCGATTCTTCACCTTAGCTCCGGGGTTTTGGTGTTGGATCTAAGCGAGTTGCTGGCCTACGGTGTGGGTACATGTGGATCATTCAGGCTATGCCGAATACCAGAATGCGATGAGCCTGACTCGCATTTACTCACTTGGCTGAGAAAGCCACCAGGCTATGATGGAGCAGAGTAATTAGGTGAAGTATGATTGGATCGCCGTGTCCTCCCGCACCTATCTGTGGATCTGTACAGACATCTCGTTTTGACTAGGTTTTCCCCAGTTCTAGTTGCTGATCATGATGACAACCGTCCAAAACGGTAGCGTAACTCAATTCCTCGGCGACTGTCTATGAAGATCATGCTCGAAGTGGAAAACCTCAACAGACACTACCCGTGTTGAGCCTACCAAGCTGATGGGTACACTTTGGAGTAGTTGCGCGAACGGAAAGTGTATAAATCCACCTCACCGTGCAGACAACTCCAGCTCTTCAGCCAGGATCATCTTTGGTTTCTTCTCCTTCCCTCTCTTCAGATACACGAACCTGTGTTGCCAGAATCATGAGGTTCACTCAAGCAATCACTCTGGCATTGCCAGCCATCACTGCTGCCTACCCTGGCATGATGGGTACTAGCTCCCGAGCAGAGATGGAGCAGTACCTTCGCGCGGAGATGCAACGTGAACAACTTGCAAACCGTGCCGCTGAACCTCAGCTAGGTGGCCTTCTCACCCCAGTCGGCAACCTCTTGGAGTCGCTTGGCGATATTGTCGACGGACTCCTGTCCTCAGTTGGCCAAGCTATTGTCAAGCAAGATAATAAGCGCCCTGAGCCTGGCTACGAGTTCAAAGCCCCCGGACCCAACGACTCCCGTGGTCCTTGCCCAGGTCTCAACTTGCTCGCCAACTACGGATACCTCCCACGCGATGGTTATGTCAATTATGGGCAGGTTCTCGAAGCCACTGCGCGTGGTTTCAACATGGGTACAGACCTTGCAACGGTCCTAGCCACCTTCGCTGTCTTGGGAAGTGGAGATCTCGATGGACTGTCTTTCTATCTTGGCTCAGGCAAAAACGGAATCGGTGGTCTCAACCGCCACTCGGTTGTGGAGGCTGATGTCTCGCCCAACCGCGAAGGTATGCAATCGCAACGTCAAAAAGGCAGACAGCAATCACTAACTTTGTAATAGATTATTACCTTGGATGCGGTGATAACCATCACCTCTCTTCCCGTCTCGTGAAGCAGATGGTCGGGTATGCTGCCCAGGACCCCAAGAAGGAGTTCTCTATGGACGTCTTGGCCAAACACTACGCAAAGTCGGCTGGTTTCACCAAGGAAAACAACCCTTTTATCTACTACTTCCCGTTCCCTCAGATTGTCTCTCTGGGTGCCTTCGCCTTCTACCCACAGTTCTTCTCCAACGGCACCTACGGTGCAGGCGGTGTGCCCAACTACAAGAGCATTATGAGCATCATTGGCGCAGAGTATGATGCGAATGCCAAGGAGTTCAAGTACGTCCCTGAGCGCTGGCCCGAGAACTGGTACCGTCGTGATACTCCTTACGGCGCGGTACAGGCCATCGCCGACGGTTTCCTTCAGATCTATCCCCGTAACATCATCGTTCCTGGTGCCGCACAGGTCGGTACAGGTAAATTGTCCGTCCAGACCCTACTCTGCGACGTATACCAGGGTATCAACTCTATTACTCCACTTGTACTCGGTGGTACTGAGGAGAACATCTCCAAGGGCGTCTCATGGGCTCTTTCCATTCTTGATCCCATCCTTAGTAAAACAGCGCTGGGCTGCCCTGACAGCGTCATCTCGCCCAACTTCCTCTACCCCAACTCTCAGCAAGAAGGTGGGCCGGCCAATCCCCCGAAGGTTCCATCCGATGAATGGACTGGCGACAACGTGTACAACAAGGTGTACTTCGGCGGAAGCTCGCCTCCTACCAATCCTAAGTGCAGCCACTCCAGCTAGAGTTCCGTTGGTTCAATTGAGAAATCTTTGTAATACTTAGCGATATACCACTTCTTCTACTCTCGTTCTATGTACAAGGATACATATACATGTTAATGAAAATGATTATTAACGACATCATTGTAGCAGCATATTATGTACTATGACTGGATTGTATTTCTGGCTCACTTGTCATCGAAATATCCTTCCAGGAGCGCTATTTATGGTATTGCACGAAAGTTCATGAATTATCTTCCCACAAGTGCATCGCAGGGTTTATATCGCTCGTAGCTTCAAGGCCTAGCGGTCTTCCAGCAGATGCGTACATAAGACTCTTACAGAGCGTTGACAAAGAACGCACATATACCAAATCATGACTAGATGTGGAAAACCATGGCGTCGCGAAACGAAACCTTGAAACAGACACAATCTGTGACGTGGCACTATTCCGTCGTTACGACCATCGCCCATCCTTCTCAGCGACGGATGCGATGTCAAGTATGATATATACCACCCCGGACTTGTGTTCTACAAAGGTCTGTTCTCAACTGATCTCCGTTTGACTTTGCAAATCACGTTGCTCTGAAGCAAGAACGTCGCATTATGCGTCTTCCACGGCCCATCGTGTGCCATCTCTACAGTAAAATGACGAAGTATGTGTGGTACCAACTTATACATCTCAGCATTTGAGAGCTGGAACACAATCAGTCAATGCGATACTGCATTGAAATATGGATTGCGACACTTACATGCCTGCCGATACAGGTTCTGGTGCCTGCACCAAATACAAGCATCGCTTTCTCCATGAGCCTAAATCGCTCCTCGCCCTCAAGCCATCGTTCTGGACGGAACTCTCGCGCGTCTTTGCCGAAGACAGTTTCATCAAACTGCGTGACCATTGCATTCATACCGACCTTGGCATACATTAGCAATCTGGTGGTACAAGAAGTACAAGCGATCACGGACCTTGAAGGCAGCAGGAATATGATGACCTAAGAGCTGCAAGCCACCGACTGGCACATAACGTGCTATAGGCACAGCAAAAGGTGGACACAGCCTTAGTGACTCCTGTATCACAGCTCTGAGGTATGGCATCTTAGTGGCCTGGTTGTATTGCACAGGATGGGTTATTGTGCCGTCTAGGTAAGCAGTGTCAATCTGTTGGACCAGTTTTGCTAATTTATCAGGGTGCTTCATGAGGAAGTAGAAGATCGCACGAAGCGCACCGGAGGTACTGTCCGAACCAGCGATACTGTTGTGTGTGAGCGGAGATTGGTAGACCGTTCTGCACTCCCTTACACAGCAGCCCACATCTCCACATGGATCTCTTTAATGGTGAGGCAGTCGTTCTTCTCTCGCATGATAGACAGCAATTGAGAGAGAACGTCAGTGCGGTTTGCGTTCGCATTCGATGTTCGTTCTTGCGCAACACCTGTCTCTCGGACAGCAGTTTGTCGGATGCCGTCTGTTGCAATAATCGCTTTGAGAACCTTTGGGATCATAACGCCTACCTGGAGTAGATATCTGCGAATCCACAAGGGCGCCATAGCGACGACAGAGTTTAGTGGCAAGGCGGTGTGTACCGCGGCGATGTAGTTACCGTAGTCAGAACTAGTTTCTAGAAAGCCAAACGGTGAGCCGAAGAATACAGCACCTACAACGTCGAACGAGAACCTATACATGTTAGCACGACTTTGTACACCATGAGCTCAATAGTTTTCGGACTCACATTTCCAGCCATAGCCCAAAGTCAAATGCATCTTGACAATCCGCAAAGCCGCCAAGCTTGTCCCCAAACAGCTTCACCAAGTCGTCCAAAGCGCGCTCATTTTTCAACATGCTGCTTAGCGTATATACTGGACCCACGATTCGCCGGTGAGCTGCGTGGTGCTTCTCATCATCATCGGTAAATAGATCTGGACCAGGACCAAGAGTAACCGGTCTATATGTCAGGTACCAGTCCGTTTTCTTGAGAGGTTGCTGGGTAGGATAGATGATGGGAATGGCCTTTGGGTCGCTCACATGAACTTCGTCTGGAGCTGTACGCACTATCGAGCCGTATTCTATACACCAGAAAACTATTAGCATATCTCGGATGATCAGATCGTTCTGCTACTTTCAAGCAAGCCTCCTTCGCAGAGCGACGCAGTCTCCACGATAATGGAAATACCCACTGAAAGCTAGTCAGCGCTACTCCAGTGCCCACAACAACACAATACGAACCTATTGTGTATTGCGCGCATATGTGTCTCCAAGTCGCCTTGGTACATCCGGTACATAAGCCATGTCCGCGATACTGCTGGCCAGACAGGTCCAGGGACTTTTGCAAGTGGATGCAGTGTGCGCGAATAGATCACCCAACTAACATAGTAGCCAACAATGACGCAAACAACGGTAATTGCATTCCAAACGCTGAGGATCAAGAAAAGAACCATGTTTGGGGACGTTGAGTCGTGCTGCGACAAGCAGCTGCGGTTTGAACTTGGAAGAGTGCCGGTTGAATTCGAAAGAGAAGGAGGGGCACACTGCTCGCACCCCCTCGTCCTGGGCGGTTCGGTTCGGTGCCTGTATATGTGTATGCAAGCCTTTCGACGCGATGGATGCGCTAATGCAACTATTCTACAGATGCCGAACATTGTAAGATAGCATTCGGTACTTTGAGGTGCGACTCGGTGGTGATTGTCCGCACACTGTTATATACAAAATCCACCCCTCGATAAGATGTGCAGAAGTTGCAGGGGTGGTGGGATCAGTCTGGAAAGGGAAATCATAATACACTTCGGATGACAGTAATGAGAACCAGGTTTGCAGAACGCCGACTTATCTTATTTGGTCAGCATGTACGTTCCAACTTAAGACTCGTCCAAGTCAATCCGGTCAGCTTGTGGTGCAACACGAACCAGGTAAGCTAGCACTCAAGCTAATAAAGCCGCTTCTTCCTCTCACATTAATCTTAGTGTTTGACATGTGGCACAGTCTTTTAAAGTCTTGTCGCGTAACCACTATGTATCTTTCTACACTTTCTCTTGTAATACCCACTATCATCGCCGCAACGCAGGTGACTATGACTCCGACACCAGCTTGCACTACAATGGCATTGTTTGGAACAAGATACGAACACTGCCTTGGCTTACATGCAACAGTCAATCTGTTGACCATACCATAGCCACACCACTGCCTCCTCTGATAGCATCTGCAAACGCAAATGTACTATTATAACTTCCGAGTTGCTAGTAGCGACAAATCCTTTGAGCTGGATAGGTAGAGATCCGTCTTTACCCACGGTGGCTTCGACAAGCTATGGTTATTGAACTGTACGTGTGAGATATCGGTTTCTTGTTTCGCGGTTCTGTCTGGGTAATGAAGATAGCTGGCTAAAGTTGTTACGGGCGATTAAAGCGATTTTAGGTGGCTCTAGTGGTCCGGTATCATGATAAGCCACCATGGTAGTCGAAGATCCCTTGGGATCAATGCAGGTAGAGTGGTGGCTGAGCCCCTAATCCGCAGCTAGTCAACACTTCTTCGTCTTTTGTGAATTGAGATCAGGTCGCTCTTGCTTCACCCGAAGCTCGCATACCCCTCCGTCATATGCGCGTTGCCATTTGGGCCTTCGGGCCCCACCCCTGCAACGATCCCCCTCATCCGCACTAGCAATTCAGCAACCCTGAAGGGTTTACCAACAACATCGTCCATGCCTGTAGCCATGGCCTGCTCTATCTGTTGTTGGCGTACATTCGCTGTGACCCCGATGATAGGTACCCTCTCCCTCAACAAACCTTGTTCCTCAAGTTTTCGTATCTCCGCAACAGCCGTCAGCCCGTTCATGATAGGCATCTCCCAATCCATGAGGATAAGGTTCAGTTCGACAGGTAAGGCATCGTTGTGACCACTAGGTATAGGCTCTGTGGATGGGATGTGGTATATTTCCTTTAGTGCAATCGAATCCGACATGGGGTGATCGTTGTTCCAAAGTTTGGTCTTTGGCAGGAAGTCAAGGGCTTCCTGACCATGGTTGGCGACGCTGACAATGCATCCTAGATTGCGCAGTTGTTTGGCGAGAACACGCTGATTGATAAGATTGTCTTCTACTACAAGAACGTGTAGCGTATCTGGTATACTTTTTGTGCGCCTCAATTCTTGTAGGTCAGGACCTTCTGGTAGCCCAAGAGCTTCGGGGCGAACATGAGAGTGTTCAGTCTGCGACGATCTTGACTGTATCGATCGACGTCGTGCTTTTGGGCTCGCAGAGTCAGATCGTGGACCAGTCTCGCTTGTGGGTTTGCACACAGGAGGAGACGGACGTGCCAGGCTTACGAGCGGTATTGGCTGTCTGTGTTTGATATCTTCAGGGAAAACATGGGGTAAACTGCCTTTCCGCGCCATCACTGGTCTGGCTCGACGTGATTTGATGTAGAAGGAGAACGTGCTACCTCTTCCAGATTCGCTGGCGACACCGATCGAACCGCCCTGCAGTTCGGTCAGACGGCGCGATATGAACAGCCCAAGGCCCGATCCACCGTAGTGGATGTGCGTGCGAGGTGAGGCTTGCGAGAAGCGGGTGAAGAGGCTGCGTTTTTCTTCATCAGAAAGACCGCGACCAGTATCGGTAACAGAGAACTGGAGATAAAATAGCTCTTGCACATTTTTCCAGTCATCTTCCAAATGAGAGTCCTGCCCTACCAGTCTCTCATCGTTGAACTGTATCCCTGCTGGCGACGAGGCGGGCTCGGTTGCACTTGCGGTGAGGGTGACCGTAACTCGCTTAGTTGATTCCAAGCGTGTGAATTTAATGGCGTTTGTGAGTAGGTTGATAAGGATCTGCAGCACCCTCGTTGGGTCCAGAGACGCCCAATCGATGTCCATGTCCCGGTACGATTTATCCACGACCAACACAAGGTCGATGCCGGCAGCTCTTGCTTCCGCAGAGAACATCTTTACTGCATGCTTCGCCACTACAGCGGTGGAGAAGCTAGGTCAGTTTATGTTTGATATGCGTTCGTGCATCCAAGACTTACCGCTTTCAGGCTGCGCAATCACCGGTGTCATGTCTAGAAGACCGGAATCGAGTTTAGAAATAGTGAGAATGTCATCGACGATATGCTTCATGTGGGTCGCGCAAACTCCTATAGTCTGAGCAGCGTCAAGGGTGGAGGCTATGAAAGCTGACCATTCAGTTGGTGTAATACTTTGTTCGCCATTGCGACCGTCTTGAGGATAAGATGATGTAATGGAATCCGCACACTGCATGATGGCGCTGAGAGGGTTTCGCATCTCATGACTCGTTGTGTCTAAAAAGTGCTCTAGGTGCTGTTTCCCTTGGAGCGCACTGTCGGTGCGAATCTTCTGGATACCTTCGGCCCACTTCTGCTCTAAATTGTTGTGTAAAATGTCAGTATATGTTTCACCTCAATACCCATTCGCAAATTCCTTACTTGATATGTCTGTGACATTTCCAACGATCTCTACAAGCTCGCCATTCGGACTCAGTTCAGGGTAGGCTGAGCATAAAATCCATTTGAAGTGCTGAGTGTCTTCAGATTGTAGCTCGTCGGACTCCGATGACGGCGCCCATGGCATCCTCGTACGTAGTTCGAAGCAAACAGATTCATGGTTGGTGACGAGCTTCGAGAATATAGATTGGCAGTAAGCCACATCCTCGGCGAAAGCGATCCGGTACCAGGCTTCGGTGGCGTTGGTGTCAGAAGATGCAACTTCAAACATATCGTACCAGCGTTGGTTTCGATAGGTATAAGTGCCTATTGGATCGATGATGAAGATGCCTACGTCAGATCGTTCAGCGAAGCGCTGGAACTTGCTCTCTTTGAGTTGAATCTCAGCCATGAGGTGTTCTTGAATCTGAGCAGCTTGGATGATAGCGTTTTCCCTTTGGCGGACTTCGTCCTCGAAAAGAACAATGGACGCAAGAGACGTGGCGAGCAATCGCACCATGACCTGGAGGTATTGCTGGTACTCATCATCGAAAGGTCGGCGGGGGTTGACGCCAATTATGAGAAAACCTTCTACTTGATTCCCTGTCGTTGGAATGATAGGACATATGACCAATGTACGACAAGGGTCGCCATACCCTCTCCAGTCAATGCCTTCCAATGCCGTTGTTGGTGCAGGAAGGTCATTGAGATGAACAACAGTAGCTTTCCCAGATTTGGCAGCCCGGCTCAGAAATGCGTGGAGAATGTACGAGTCCTGGTTGATATTGACAGTCGCAGGGGCGATAGGGTGGCCGACAGGCACGCCAATGGTACCCTTGAGGATGCAACCTTCCAGCGGGGGGATGCTGCCCGGTGATGACATTGAGGGTATTTGAGCACTAACATGTCGCTCAGCAGCATATAACAGGGCAAACGGTACATCCTTGTCATTCAAGCTCAGAGAGCGCAACGTAGTATCCCAAAACGATGGGAAATCTCTCGCATTTGCGCTTTGGGTACCCATGGCCACCAAACTTGAGACACGGCGTTCGAGGATACGATGGTTGGAGACTTCGTAAAAGGTCTGGTAGTACGCTGTCACTTGGCCATGGCTGTTCAATATAGGTACGAATTGGAAGGACCAGTGCGTCTCTTCGAGAAGGCTGTCCCTCTCTATGAAGAGGAGCATATCGGGTTCGGCTACGGATTCGCCAGTGGCTTTGATGTGGTCGACCATGGGTTGGAAAGAAGTCCAGTGATCGGGTGCCTTGGTACAAACACTTTCGCCCATGCAGGGATGGAGACTGCCAAGCAGCTGAACATACGGCTCGTTGTATAGCATGATAAGTTCGTCACCCCAGAACATGACAGCAGGTACGTTGTTGCTCAATACTGTGTTGGCTATACAACGCAAATCACAAGGCCACGAAGTCATTGGTCCCAACGGCGTCTTGGCCCAGTCGACACTGCGGAAGTAATCGATGTGCGGGCTGGCTCTCACCACGCCCGTGACTACATCAGAAGTACAGTCAAAGGACGTGTTGTTGATTGCGGATGAGTCCGGAGAAGAGCTGGTGCTGGGCTCGGACATTTGGGGTGCGTGGACGAGCGACAGCTGGGGTTTCATAGGTAGAGCGTCTGCGCGAGGTTTGCCTTGAGGCGCCTTCCGCTCGCGCATGATGGTGCGGTGGCTCTTTCCTCCCGGTGCAGCGTCAACCCACAGCAACCGCGTCGGCACTCCGCTAACGATCTTGTATCGCCCTAGGGTTATGGCGCTCCATGTATGGCCTTCGAATGTATACGCGTTGCCGCGCCGTTGTAGATCGTCCTCGTTCACATAGCCGCAAACCCAATCTCTGAAGGCAAGTTGCGGTGCCGAGCTTTGTGTGAACAAGCTCGTCGCATCGTTGCCCGATACCTTGGCCAGCAGTCCGCCGACGGCGTGCAGCGCCGTGTTCGCATATATGAGATCGAGGGTTTCGTCGCGGCGCAGGTACGGACAGGTTTCGATTGCGAATGAAGGGCGCTCGTCGCGGTCGAGGGCGTCGAGGAGCGTTAGAGATGCCAAATCTCGCTCTGCCGTCTGCAGCTTGGGCCTGGACGCGGCCAGCGGTGGCTGCGAGACATAGCCGGTTGTCCCGTAGTAGTTGTGCAGCGCAAGTAGCTGTCCGTTCGAGGCCATGTCATGGGGCGTAGAGCAGAGCAGGCAAAGATAACAACAAGACACACGGCCAGCGCATTGAACAGATGCCCGAGTAGTATCTGTACAGACGAGGATTACTTTTGCTTCCCGCTGCTATCTGGAAAGCTAGCGCAGCCAATGGTCAGACGCTGCATCTTTAGCCATGATGACTGAAAAGCGTCTCGGTCCGCTAGGTGGCGGCTCCACGCCCTCGCCGAGATCTACGACATGGCGTCATTGGGGATTAAAGTTGAACCTAAGTACTGCACCTCCAGCCTTTGTTCGGTGCGGTGTGCGTAGAATTCCATGGTGGTGTCACTGCAGTATCACGTCGCGTCTGAAGTTTGACGGGTAGCTGCCCTGCGGCGATCACACGCCTACCCTTGCTGCTTACTTGAAAAGGTCCGCGTTGGAGGCGCCAAGACGCCATCCAACATTACCGTGAAGGGTAAGCTGACCGGGCCGACTCCGCAATTTCCACGCCTGGCTATCACCACTCTCCACATGGTAGCATCTCACTTTCATGGAACTGATGCAGTTGACGGAAACACCGGTACGATCCGATGCTCCTCGTCAGAGATGAGAATGGAATTACAACGTGTTGATGACGCCGTCAAAGATGATTGGGAAGAAGCAACAAGGAAACTGCTTCGGTAGGAAGACTTCTTGCTGGACAGTGAGCACAAAAGGCCTGTGATCACTCCGCAGAATCTTGAAGAGATCCTCTACGACAGAAGCGCTACCGGCATCGAAGATATATTGAGTGCTGTACTTCAATTCTTTGAAAAAATGGCTATTGCAGCCGTCTAGAACTGGTTTGTGGCAGAGGCCAGAATGTGGTGTCACTTCGTACATAGAGCTGTGTAATTCAATCAAGTCGAAATGCAAGTGATTTTACTTTCGTGTATATCGACAAATATATGTACAGTATTGGACTCAACTCCACGAACTAGCGCTTTCAGTGAGAGTTACAACATGCACCTCTTTTAGTGTCTCGCTTCTCTCATCCCTATTCAAACACGGCTGTCCGATTAGCAGAGTAACATATCATCTAGAGGTTGATTTGTGTTGCCTAATCCTACATTCTGACCTTGATGTCAATACTTTCTCTTATGTCGAAATTTGTACGATCTATACAACCTGTGTGAATGCATGCTAATTTTGTAAGCTGACACGTAATCCTCCGGGGCAGGGAGTGTAACAGTTGTCCTGGGACTAGACACAGACAGAATTTAAGCAAAAAGATGGGTGAATCCTTGTCCGAGGATCGGACGAGGCATTAGTGTCCCGATAAAGTTATGGAACACAAGACGGCAAAAAAGAAATTGTTGTATACAACGTATTGTGACCTAACCAGGGGTCGCTGCGTGATAGTTAGTGTCTGTGTTCGAACGGGTCGCGCTTTCGAGTGTTACTTACAACCTGGAATCTCTTGATATCGAACGAATCGTAGTCAAGCGCCTTGCCATTGGGCCATTAGGCCGTTGTTTGATTGATGGTGACATGATAAATAACGTAACTTATATTGTCTGGCACATTCACATTCTCGACAGAAAATCCAAAATCAGTTCTCGCGTTGGCATGGGCAAGGCTTTGCAGCATGAAAGAGTTTGCGCTTGTGGTGGGGTTGTCGGAACACTTCGGCATGGTGGGGCACAACGCAGAAAGTACTTGGAAAAAAATATCATAACGAACCACCACAATGTATGTTATCATGCATTCTCCATTATTAATATTTAATTAAGATCACGATATGTAGTCTTTAAGTTCATCTCCGCGAGGCTGCTCACGGGTGATAGACAACTAAGCCCTCGCTGCGGGCTGCGAGAGCGTGCTTCCACCATCAGGGTACATGACCTGCTCGTTGTAGAATACACCACCTGGTCCAGCCAGCATGAGAACCGTCGCAGCCATGTCAGTATCAGCACCAGGTCGACCCGCAGGGTTGCTCATGCCAGATTCGATGCGGCTCTTGTTGTCCTCATCGGAAGAGCCTGTGGTCATCTGAATGTGGTATTAGCTCAAACAATGTACTGGTAAGCTATATGGAGTAAGGCTACATACCTCACTTGGGAAGACACCAGGAGCGATAGTGTTCACCCGAACCTTGGTACCAACAAAGGTTGTTGCAAGCATGCGGCTCAGATGTGTGGCAGCTGCCTTGCTAGACGCGTAAGAAAACTGGCCGTTGCTGCTACCCTTCATGTACCCTGAGATACTGCTAACGTTGATGACCTGTGAGGTGTATCCAGGAGTCACCTGGCCACCCTTGGCCAAGAGAGGCAAGAAGGTCATTGACATCCAGAAGATGCTTCCGACATTAGTCTTCATGGTGTCGGCCCAGTTCTCGGGCTGGGACTTGAGGAAATGGTCAGAGATGGCTTGGGCGTCCTCCATGTTTGGCTGGCCGTTTGCGGAAAACTTGGTGTTGTCATCACGAGCGATACCAGCGTTGTTGACCAGAATTTGGATTCCTTTTGGCTCTTTTTGACACATCTCGTCGTAAAGACGCTTGACATCATCCTTTTCGCTGGGTAGCGTTAGCGCCGCACTCTCCATGAATCGGATATGATTGTGCTTACCTGACATCTGCTTGGAGAGGAATAATTTGGCCTGGACCGCCACCTCCATACAGCTCCTCCGTCTTCTTCAAAACTTCATCGCGTCTTGATGTGATGTATACTTTCGCACCGTTTGCGACCAGCGCTTGTGTGATCATCAGACCGATACCAGTTCCTCCACCAGTAACGAGAGCAGTGACGTGGGAAACATCGAAGAGCTTGGAGCCCTTGAGGTCCTCGGTGTTGGCCTTGCCGTTACCCATATTTCTGATGATTTGGTACGTAGTCCTTGGGATGAATTGATTTGTTCGTATTGTGGACGTGATAGATTTGGTAGCTGTGGGAAGGTTTCTTGAGAAGAGTCTGAGCATGTTGAGATATGGTTGTAATGTCTGCTTCCTTTATGCAATTTAAAGGTGGATGAGCGATGTCACCGTTCGCATGCGAACATGATGACGTTGAGACGACGCATGAGTACTCCAAGATGGGGTCCAATGAATTAAGCACTGGCGCGACGGGTCGATGCATACTATGAGCGCATGCAATTATTGAAATCCTATATTCCCCATAATGGAAGCGCAAGCCACCAACAAATAGCATACCTTAGCATCGACTAATGCTTGTGGAACGGCAATCACGGCCAGGAGCGAGCTAAGGCCAGATGCAATGCCAGATACCAGATGCAACTAAATGTGCTGGACACTGTTGCTTGCCTCGGCTGTGTAAAGATGAGGTGCATATGCCCTACGATCAAAACTACCATTGATTTGGACGACTACAGGCGCTGTGAAGCTATCTTTACTGCACCGTATGCATAGCCACATGGCTTCAGTTGTCCCTAGGCATGACGACGAGACGCATCCAATGCAACAGAGAAGATGCGATAAAAATTAATGTTCAGATCAACTTCATGTATAGGCAATACCACATTGTAGATGTCTGGAGGCTGAACAAAATGTGATGGTGTCGAGGCTGCCACACATCTGCGGCTATGACGCAATCATCAGTCCGAATCATCTCCACGCCGTCTCCGGGCGCTCGGCCCATGGCCTTTGTGACCATGGCTTAGAAACCACGCGAACTGTTACAAACCACCATCTCAACCAACAGAATATCGTACGCGCATTATCAAATGGTTATACTCGGCACGCAATACATGTATTTTGTCAGCATATGAGCGATCATTGGACGACAGGGATTTAGTAATACAGTCTTGGCCTCGGGAATAGAGCTATGGCATCATCGCCACAGAGATGCCGAATGAGGGGAAACATCGGAGGATGAAGGGCGACTTGACGCCTCGAACAGTAGGAATCATTTCTAATCGCGTAGGCGTATATAACATCATCCAATCTGCACATGTTCCCGATTCATACTCAGACAACTTACTGCACAGCCATTGATCCAGCAAACCGCCATTTTCCTTCACGATTCTGCCTTTGCAACCTCTCGACAGTATAGTCTCTAATTCAATTGCGAACGAACCTAGCAACCCAGCTACCACAATGACAACCACCGCGTCCCTCCCCACGCCCGCACACCAACTCTCCAACCCAACGCCTACTTCGAACAACACCACCTCTTCCGACGTCAACTATCAAGGCCTACCCATTCCTCGCGGCCCCGTCACAGCATCGCTATCTTTTTACAAAGCCCCAGAGGATGGTGCGCCACCACACAACTACGTCGAGCCGCTTCCAGGCGTGCCACAACGGAATTGGGGAGATGCATGGACCGAGGTCGAGCTCAACGACCTACGAGGCCAAGAACATAAGTTCACGCTAGACAACAACGCCTTCGACACATATCAGAACATTAAGAGTGGGCTCGACAGGGATGGGTTTGAAGACGACGACGCAATAAAACGCGTGTATTACCCAGAGGTGGAGAATCTACTCTTGAAGAACGTACAAGGCGCACAAAGAGTACTTCTCTTCGATCACACAATCCGCCGACCGACTGGCAATCGCAACCCCGTTCAACGCGTACATATCGATCAGACACCTTCCTCGGCCGCTGAACGAGTCAAGCTGCACTTGCCTGACGAAGCCGAGCAACTCCTACAAGGTCGTTACCGCATCATCAACGTTTGGCGTCCACTCAACGGACCTGTCATGGGCAGCCCACTTGCAGTCGCCGATAGTCAAACAGTGCGCGATGGCGATCTGGTACCCATCGAGCATCGCTATCCCAATCGCAACGGCCAGACCGCAGCTGTAGCATATAACCCAGGGCAGAAGTGGTACTATTGGTCTGGCATGAAGAACGAGGACCGTCTGCTTCTCAAATGTTTTGACAGCGACGAGACCGTAGGCCAGTGGGGACGCGTACCACACACAGCTTTTACAGACCCTCGCACACCGGAGGGCGCGGTTGGCAGGGAGAGTATTGAGGTTAGGGCGCTGGTATTTGGATGAGCGCACTATATTTTTCTTCCTTAGTCACGGTTTTTTAGCCCTTCAGTTTTAGCCTCGCTCGTTAGATATGTGTTTACGAGTTTAATCTGTTTGTATTGTTCGACAGATGTTCAATGATAAATCTCTTCTGCGCAGATCGCATTGATGAAGTCATATCATTCACAATAGCTACTTAAAAGAACGTGATATGTGTTAAAGGTAAACAGCGAACATTGAGTCAAAGTGTGTTGAAACACCATGTGAGAATATCGCCATTGAGACTGTTGAAGTCGTTTATGACTGAGCGAAGTGTAGATCTTCAATAATCGTCTCCTCGGGAGATGACCTCCTTACAGTTGGGCCGGAGTAGCACAGTCTGTTGGACATATTGAGTCAGTTGGGACATATACCTTGGGAAGAAGCATAACTTACGTGTTCAAATTGTGCAATCAAGGAGCCAGGAACATCTACAAGCGGCGCATATGCTTCAACGATGCCACTGTTGACTAGCGTTCGCATGCCGAGATGATACTTTTCAACACCAGGCAAACGCTCAAGTTGACGGCGTGCGAAGACCAGAGTCCCAAAGTTCTGGTCAATGGTCTTCAGGAGCGACTTCGCAGATGTGTGGTGGAGCCCAGTGGCACTGACATGCTCGTTGCGTCCGTAGCCATAAACGCCAACATCGTCATGAAGATAGGCCTTGCCCGTGCTGCCAAAGGTTTCGATGGCGAAGATGTCGCCTTCCTCCATACGTTGAGTGGTCTTGGTCTTGACGAAGGGAACCTGTTTGTCACCATGGATGTGATAACGTAGGATGTTGTGGCCAGTGATGTTGCGCACAGCCTTCACTGGAATGGTCTTCCCTTTGATTTCCACTTCATAACTCTCCATCACCTCTTGAATCATCTCACTGATGTGATCGATTCTCGCATCGATTCCGGCTTCTTTCAAGCCTGTGTTGGTAGCCGCCTTGACAGATGCCAATAGATTGTCATAAATTGGATTGGCGGCCACAGTGAAGGCGCTGTCCACGATTCTGCCGTTGACATGAACACCAAAGTCGACTTTCAACACGTCGTCATGCTGAAGAAAGACTTCCTTGGCACCGGCGTTGGGCGTCCAATGCGCACCTACATTGTTTAAGCACAACCCGGTCGGGAAGGCAAGGCCGGCTTTCAGTGCATCTCCGGTCTCAAGACCCTCGTGGCCGACAAGTGCGCGAACACTATCGTCAATCTCTTCGGCAAGGCGAGTCATAGACATGCCGGGCTTCGCGATCGTCTGTGCATAGTGGCGGACCTGGCGGTGGACCTCGGCAGCCTTTCGATAGTCCTTTAGGAAGTCATTCTCCATGTTATCCACGGCGGCTAAATGGCGAAGTTCGCCAACTGTAGTGCGCTTCAGGTTGTCATCATTGGTGGTATACTCAACAATCTGCCCTTCCGGATATTGTCGACCAAGGAATAAATCAGTGAGGGGTACCCTGGGAGGTGCCGTCTGCTGCTTTTGTGACACTTTCTTGGTCTTCTTCTTGTTGTTGCGTTTTCTTTTCTTCTTTACGCCTTGAACAGTTAGTCTTAGCATTACACTCGCCTGGCATCAGCTCACCATCGTTGTTCTTTACGTCAGCTCCAAGCTTCGCGATATCATCATCGTTGTCGTCGCTGTCTTCATCTTGACCTTCGAGAACGCCCTGAAGTAGTCCAGTCGCCGCGGCTGATTTAGGTGGATTGATAATAGCGATTGCAGCGTCTGCTGAGGACCCTGAAGAGTGTCAGCATGTCTGTCGTTCCTTCACCCTATTCGAGTCTACTGACCATCGGGACCTTGACGATGATCTTCTGGAGATTTGGACCCCATGGCTGGTTCAAAGCGATGGTCATCAAGTTTTCAAAGCGCTGTTGGTGTCGGTGTTGGTGATCTGAGGTGCGGCGCGAAGCTGAAGGCTGGATGCCTTGGTGAAAGTGGGGTCCAACAACACTATACCCTTCTTGTCACTGCCCCACGGTGCTCCGTTGCGCACGACTAGTATGTATTCAGCGCTTAAGATCGCCCAATCTGGATGGCTACCGCTCCATGACAAACAAAACATCTCTGGGTTGGTCTATAGTCAATGCGCTCAACTTCCTTGATCTTCAGGCTGTCAGGTACTCATCTTTGCTGGTTGTTGGCGATACCTACGTACCTTCAGGCCTGTTTTCTACTTTGACGAAATATCACCGAGCAGGACAATCGCAGAATCCTTCACTTGCCTGTTTAACGGTAACAAGCGAATTTCAATACTCGTGAAATGTTAGGGATTGAACACCCAGTTCTCGTTGAAATCCAAAGATACCCTAATCTGAAAACCACAATGTGCTACAGCGCATCTGAAACGATATCAGTCACCCCTGTTTGGACAACCATTTCCCAAACAGTCAGTTCCTTCGGCTTTGTCTGTTAATCGCTCGATTTTGATTGTGTCTCCAGCTCTAGTCAAGAAATATCTAGGGTGACTTTTCCTGTGTCGGTCCGTGAGGAGATTTCCCGCGTACCTACAACACAAGGACTTGATTCAGGAAAGGTTAACTAGAAACGGTAATTGCACCTACTGATGACTTTCTTCGCTCTGGGCTCGTTGTGACGATCCAAGACTTCGATGGGATTCCACTTGTAGCAACTTGACTTAGTTGGTCCCCTTCCGACAAAAAGGGTGCAGATACACTGCCACATTGTGCGATTGTCAGGTCGGTGAGCATGGACAACGGTAGAATATGCTCGCGAGAAGTTTTCAAAGGACATGCTCAAAGACACACACCTGGAGTATTGATCTTTATACCCAGCATGAGTCACGACTAATGACCAGATGTGAGTCGCACTGGAGTACTTCTAGCGACTGTACAAATGTTTGCACAAGCACAGTTGAAAGATTGGTATCAGCGGCATAGGCGATAAGTAGACCAACAAGTCGATGTACTACAACGTTCCATCACCAGCCTCAGTGTATGTCGATCCATTCGTCGAGCTGTTCGGCTGTTTACACAGAGCCGCAGGTTCCCTTAAAGACCCGTAACCTGCCAGCTTACATGTTACACATACTATGGGGAGATGATTTTTGCACCATGTCTGCCTTCATAAGAAGTAATAGCTGATGAAAGTGCCAGATACCGGACGTCTACGTTGGTGACCTCGGTCGCTTATCGCTGTAAGACGGATGGGAGAATGGCTATCGCGGTTGGAAAACATAACGTGTGCTATGCAGCCGTTGGCATGGACCCTGCGAATATAGACGACGGATGTGAGGTGGTCATGTCGAATATCCCGGCCGACAAGCCTGAAAGGCAGGTGAGTAGAGCGGAGTTGCCGAGGATGACTGTTCATGTGTCGCCAAGACATTGTTGTGCACTTATCATGCGAGAACGCCACCAAAAAGACCTCTCATTTCTCGCAACCACCACACTCAATTACCACACAACCATCACCAACCTGATCATATAGTTAGGCCAAGATGCGCCCAGCTCGTGTTCTGTGCATGGCCTGCAGCAAGTCTACAGTAACGTCATTCGTATATGGCATGGCTACACTGCTCAGTCATGGTCAGAGTCACCTTTTCAATAAAGGCAAGGGCAGTGCAGCCCTTTATCCTTCTCAGGCGCCCCATTCACCCCTGGCGGCGACTAGTCTGCCACGAGCTGCATGGACCCAAAGATAGACGGCTCAATGCCGCTAAACGTCTAGACTTTTCGCGGGATTGGCTAACTCGCATCGCGTCAACAACATGATTGGTGGAGAGAGTCGGACCCTGGAAGAGGCGCAAGGCTGCATCGATCGCTTAAGGGGAAACGAAATGTAACTCTGCACAGTTTGCACGACCGGTGAGCTAGCCGTGTCGTTGTTCGGCTTGACGGCGCGGTTCTTTATGGTGTTTAAGATGAGAGCGTTGTCCTGATGTTTGGAGATAGCCCTACAGACTTTGCTAATCTCTAATATTCGCGTTTCGCGACCCACGATCGTTTACCTTCGCAGCACGTAGCATCATGGCTGCCCGATTCGTCTTTATGGCGGTCGCTAATGCCGCTATTGCACGGGCACAGTTATTTTCTGATGACTTTTACACTACTACCACTCGTTCCGCTTCAGCATACTGGACATACACTTCCCGTTTCGTGGAATCCGTGTCTGAGAGTTTGTATACAAACTATGATGACAGTGTCACCACTGATAGCTATACCGTAACCCGCACCGTGAAGGACGAGGCCACCCCCACGATCTCACCATACTCGACCACTTCCGAATATGGCTACTACAACGATGATCTCCAGATCGTGTACGCTTACTACACTACCAGTGCAGTAGCAGAGTCCGATCTCGAGCCTGATTATTATGATTACTATGCGACCACAACGGCGGCTTCGACGACAACTACAATCACGAGCATTGATTTCAGCATGCCGGTCACCATGGTGGCACCCGCCTCGTGCCCTACACCATGTAAGTAAAACATTCACTGTCCAAGTCTTCAAAACACTGGTTCTGAGTGCCTCCCTAGTCACCGTAACTACTTCCGCCTCTGTGGATATTCCGACCCAAGTAACCGCACAAATCTCGCCAACTTCGATTGAGACGTACTCAAGCAGCACTACCTACGACAATACCGTCTACGTTTGGGAGACATGGTATTTGTCTGAGAGCGCCGCGCCATTCACCACAACATCAGACTACTACTACTCATACTACATTGCGGATTGCATCACGCCTCCAGCAGCTTATCGCACTGGTTCCTCTTCCGGCGGTGCAAGTGGTGGCAGCTTGAACAACGACGATGATGATAGCTCATACGATTCGTGCTATTATTACTACTGCACCTCTCGCCTTCGCGTATATATCATCATCATTGCAGCTGTAATTCCCAGTCTCTTCCTTCTTGGATTCCTCGAATCTTGGTTCTGGTTCCGCCGCCTCATGCTCGGCAAGAGTGCCATGCGATTTGGTACATGCTGCTGGGTACTCATCTCACTCTGGGTGCTCTGCTTCACTCGTATGCAAGATCGTCGTAGTGCTGAAGATCAGAAGCTATTGGCTGAGAAGTGGAAGAATATGGGTAGTGGCGCAGCCTTCAAGGCCTGGTGGAAATGGGGATTTCGTCATCGGTACCCAGAGGAGTTGTTGGGTCAGTTCAGCAAGACAACTGTTGGTATTGTACCACCCGGCCAGCCGTTGTATCCAGCCATGGCGCAAACACCAGGTGCTTTCCAGCCTGCTATGTCTGGTGGTGGTGCTCTGCAGCCCGTCCCTGGTGCTCCAGGCCAGGTCTACTACTATGGCCCTCCACCTCCAGGCTGGGTTCAAGCACCAAACGGAGGCTTTGTGCCACCGCAAGGCTATATGTATCCTCCTCCCCAGCAAGCTGGCTACTATGGCGACATGACCAAAGATGGAACGGTCGTTTCACAGTCTCCTGTTTCCGCCATGAGTCACCCGCAATCGCAAGACCAGACGGAAAATGCGTCGCCTATGGCCCCGCAAGCCCCTCAGCCAACCTATTCCGCTCCTCAGAACGCCGCGCACACGCCCACGCCATATGGTGCCCCACCAAATGTAGGAACTCCGCTAGCAGGAGCTCCAAGTCCTCCACCCCAAGGCCCTCTGCCGGCATCCCCATCTCAAGCTGCAGGGCAGGGAGCACCGCAGATCCCACCAGTGGTAGTGAGTGATGCTTCAGCAGACGACTCAGCCAGACAACAGGCCACTGCACCTGCTGCAGCTAGTGCTCCCCCAAAGCACGATCGAAATGACAGAGATTTGTATGAGTAGGCTTATTGGTCAACTCGACGTAGCAGTCTTTAATGAGTCAAGAACCGTATAGCGCAGATGGCAAAGAGAAGATAGTCACAGCTTTAGCATAAATTTCTTTGAGCATTACGCGTGCAGATACCCCAGCTCGGAGTCATTTTCTCTACGTTATCTATGAGATAGATGTAATCAACAATATAGTATGTGCATTGTTAAGACCACACGTTTCTTCTTCCGCTACCTCGTGACTTATCGGTTGTGCTTAACATCATCATCACAGGAGGCAAGAGGTGCAGAGTGATCGATTCATGGTGTATTAGATGCATTGGATTGGAAAAGTGGTATCGATTCTTGTATTCGGACCAAGGAAAGTATAAAAGGTAGCGCACGAAGGCGTGTGAAGAAACCGATCTACGCAAGCAAAGGCTATGCAAGACGTCTTGTAAAAAGGAAAGAAGCATGGAAGGAAGAAAGACTCCGACATGTCTGGCTCCAGCGTCCAGACATCGAGCAAAGAAACAGGAAAGAAAGAAGTAAAGAAACAAAGCTTCTTCTCCGACAAAACATTATCGTACAACGCCATCAAATGCGTAAAGGTGTGGTATGAAGTCTTCATGTTGCCATTAGAATCCGTACTGTCGTCTAGTCGTGGTTCTTGGTCTGCGTCCACCAGAGCCGGGTCCAATATCAATGCTCTGCAACTCCAAGCTGAGTGCCATGTCCTCGTTCTGTGCGCCGTAGCCACCGCCATTCATATCGATGGGTACCTTGGCGGGAATGGGTGGAGCTGCGACACTATGCCTCTGGGTACCGCGTCTGTCATAGCTAGGACTGCTGCCGTAGCTGTTGGGATTGTCGCGTTCGCGGAGAACCTGTCTGTCTGGTAGGTTGTACTGCGGTGGCGTATCGTAGGCAGATACAGGACGTTGTTGGTCTCGCCTTGTAGGCCTGCTACGTGCTGTAGAACTAGGAGGCGCATTGTGTTGACTCTGGCTTGCAAGGACCAACGCACCTGCATTGACAGGTGAGTTGTAATCGTTGTTGAAGTCATGTCTCGTAGTGACTAGCGCGTTGCTGTTGTCAAAGTTCATGCTAGCTGCATGGCGGATGCGTTCTCTGTCAGCGCGCTCGCGCTGGCATCGTTCCTCGCGTTGCATGGCGGCCTCGAGATCTCTGCTACCGTTAAGCTGCGCTCTGCTGCGAGGAGCTTTTTCCTTCACTGTGCCCTTGGGTACTGGCTCGGGTGCCCAGTTGTCGACAGGCAGATGGTCCGACGCATCGACAACGCGACCACTGAATGTGACAATCTGACCCTTGTCATTGTACTCCATGCGGCTACCTGGTCGTTCCAGCTCGTCATCCGAAGGTATTGGAGACTTGGACATTCTGGGGTTGTAGACATCGAAACTGTCGGGATTGAATGCTACTGCAGAAAGTCTTCGTTCACTTGTGTCTTCCCTCGCGGGTGGTGGGCGAGGTGACACCGACTTGCGGGTCGGCATGCTTCGCGCAGGCATCCTAGATGAGCGATCGGTAACCGGGTTCGGAGAGTAACGGTCCATATCCGGGTTCGGAGAGTAGCGGTCCATAGCCGGATTGGGAGAGTATCGCGGGTTCACACCAGGACTTGTAGCACGAGGCTTGACAATTGGAGTGGGGTCGTAAACAGGAGGTGACATCTGGCGAGGCTGTTCGGGCGGGTCATGAGGATAGTAGTCGTTGGATTGGTATGCAGAATGATGGACCAACTCCTGTGACTGGACGGGTGCCTCAAATTGTGTGATGGCCCGATACTCGGCCGGCTCCGAATAGTGGCGCAATTGCGGCGGTGTCTCATACGAAGGAGGAGCTTCGTAAGGTGGCGCCTCGATCTCTTGCCTCACCGGGTTCAGCCCAGCAATGAGACTGGTTGGCAGCGCCGGTGGTTCCTGTCGCAGTGGTTCCTGTCTTAGTGGGGACGGCACCATAGCATCACGAGATACGGGACGACTTGAGCCCTGTGTTGGCATGCGAGGGTGAGTGTACCGTCGTTCAGAAGGTTGTCGAGGTGCGTAGTTATCGGGCTCATATTGCTGAGGCTGCATATCGTAGCTGTAGGGAAGTGAATCTCCTCTCGACCTTGATGCAAAGCTGAGTGGCGCTGGGCCGTCGTTGCGGTAACGGTCAGAGCTCTCTTGGTTAGGGTGAGGCAAGGTGCTGGCATTGCGCTTGTGCATGGGCGGCGGTGGCGGCATGTCATCCTCGTCTTCCACCATTGGCTGCATGGCACTACGTCTGCGATGCGTAGGGCTTTCGTCGTGTAGGGGCGGTGCCTCGATGAATCGCTGACCATAGTATTGGTCGGCTGGAGAAGCCTGCTCCTGAGGATGCTCGCGGCTACGACTGCTTCGCAGGGGCGCAACCTGGTATGTCGGATCTTGGTACTGGTCTTGCGCGTACGACTGAGGTGGCTGAACTGGCCGAGCTGGCTGCGGGGCCGGCTCAATCCGTTGAGGCTCATGCTGCTGGTGCTGAAGCAACTGTTGCTGGAGATACTCAATCTGCTTCTGCTGCTCTTGTAGTTTTTGCTGTTGTGCCGGGGACTCATAGGTGTGCTGCGTCGGGACCGTTGGGGCCGAGTGAGAATGTACTGGCTCGGGGTGTTGCAACGCTTGGGTTCTTGGAGATTGACCATCTTCCTGAGACATCCTCCTCTGCTCCGAGTGCCTGATGCGTTGTGGTAGAGGATCAATCGGCTTCACTTCATATGGCTTGGGGGCAGCATAGGACATGTCGAAGCTCTCTTCCCTCGCCATAGGCATCCTCTGGGCCGACGAGCGTGGATTCGGAGGTGTGCTGTACGACGCATGCGGCGCGGGACGCTGTGGGGTGATTTGGCTCGATGTAGACGCGGGGTTTAGGGGGGAGGATTCTGGCACAGGCCTGCGTGAAGGTGCATCCGACTGGGTCCGGTGTGCTGGTGACGGGTCAGTTGGTGTCCGCTGGTGTCGCGGCGAGCCCAGCTCTCGTGGGCCGGCCCTGACACCCCGCAGTCCTCGTTGTTCTGGAGTATGCACGGGCGATGGTGTGGCGCCTGTCGGGTCGCTGGGGAGCGGACGTCGCTTGACGGGTGCCATCTCGCGCGCTCCACCCACAGCAGCCTTGCCTTCTGGCTTGGCTGACTCTCTCCTTTTCTGCAGTGCTGGCTTTTCATTCTTCTCACGGGTGTCGTAGTAGGTAATCTCCATCCGGATCTCGCCGGCGTATTTGCCCTTGCAATTGAGGCCGAGCCATTCGTCACTCTGTCCTCCGCCGGGCGTGATGACGGAGTTGAGATTGGCAAAAGCCTCGCCAATCAGCTCCGTCTTCTTGTCGTCGTTGAAGACGGAGACCTTGAGGCGGTTGTAGTCGGGCGAGTCGTGGGCGGTGAAGCGCAATTCCTGGTCCCTGCATGTGTCAGCGACGGATTCGAAATATGTCCAAGAGGGACGTACCATTTGGGCGTCTGGCCGCCTCGTTTGTCCGTCTTCGTCTTTTTTGCCTCCTTGCCCAACCGGGCAGCGCAGTACGGGTCCTGTTTTCCCATGGTCCTCTTGTTGGGCAGATTTCGGGCGCGGTCCATGATGACAACCAGGGTGCCTATTACCGGCCCGTCGACCGTCATGTCGGAGAAGATGCCTGCTGCATGAGCTCCGCCAAAGTTGGGGAGATTCATCGCCTTGGTCGCCATGCTGCGGCAATGGCCCGGGTGAGGGACTTGGGGCGGGAAGGCGCGTCGAGCGAGAGTGGGCGGTGGGCGTGGATGGCCGCGAGTGCAGCGTCGTTGGCGGCGATAAGGCGCATTCGCTGCAATTGCAAGACGGGGGGGAGGAGGTGAAGCTGCAATGAGGGAGTGAGAGAGAGAGGCGGCGAGGCAAAACAAAAGAGTGACAGTGCAGAAGCAGAGGTTAGGCGTGGATGCAAGATGCAGGCGTGTTTTGGGGTGGATCGGGTTCGCGGGTGTTGTTCTATTCCTATGTTACGCATCCTCATGTGGCTGGCTCCAGCCTCTCCGAGCCCCCGCAGCACCAATCACACGCCCTGAGCCACCATGTGGACCTACCACGCTCTTCCCCGGTCAGATCATTAAGGCTGAAAGGGTCGTCCCTTGCAGACGCGAAGTCTCAAGTTTCTTGTTTAGCCCCATCTCGCTGCGAACGCCTGTCGCGCTATTGTTTGCACTCCTTTGGGGCTATGTCATATTCTGTGGCTGGGCTGGTCAGTCTGCTGCCATCGCCTCACTAACCGCGACACTTGCCGGCTGTAACGGGCTCTCCGGCATGTACACACACGCGCAGCACCCATCTGCAGTACCTACACTGCATCTGGTCCTTGGCCCGCTTTCGCACCCGCCTTGCGTGAGCCTGCAAGACCCCAGCTGTCCGGCTGTATCATCTTCACTCCACGCTCAACCATGCATCTCCAGACAAAACAAGTCTACTGAAATCTCACACGCCCCCGACTTGGTTGTTCCATGCGCTGCCTCTCTGTGCTACTTGCAGTCCATGCGTCTATTCGATTCTTCTGTGCTAGGTTTGGCGCATGTTCCTATGGAGACGAGGCTCAGCCAGGATACCGTTGATCACCCGGCGCCAATCGTGAGATCACCCCATTGCGATCCCACAGACCCAAATCAGGTCTGCGAAAGATGGCTGGTATCACCGGATTGCGAATTGCCGCCCAACAGCAATACCCCGATTCGCCCGGCATCAAGAAAGATCCTTGAATCATTCATTTTGTGGAGATTGCGCGTGGGATTTTGCCCAAGCTTGGATGCAATACATCCTTCGAGTGACAATTGACATCCAGAAGACATCTAAGCGTGGTGAAGCTTATCTCTGCAGAGATTCCCGAGGTTCCGAATGCTCTTCAGTCGCCTTGATGTTGACATGTGATCCGCGATTGATACTGCAGCTACCCACGCACCTATTGAGTACGTTGAGAGCGTCGCGTCGCGTCATTTCTATGTGAGCAAAAAGATCATGCAGCCTCCCACACGGCCGAGGTTGTTGCTAAACCACGATGAACAGTTGGTCAAATCTAGGATAGTCCTGCACGCGTCCATTGTGGGCGTGATGGACATGTGACGCTCCTGTCCCGTGACTGCGCGCATTCGCGTTCTCGCGACCGCATCGCGCTTGCGCTGGCTGGCTTTGGAGTTAGCAGCCTCGCCACCACGGTCCTACCTCCACCCACGATAACCACCCCCAACATTACCTACCTGCCATATCAGGGCTGCCCGAATCGCCCATGTTACTCCCACCATGTCAACCCACACGCCCTCCCCGCACCGCTTCCTAGCACCCAATCCGCCTTCGACCCAAAAGCTGAAGAAACCTCAATCCGGTCTGCGCAATGCTCTCGCTGTACAAACGCCAGCACCCACTAAACCAGCGCAGCCAAAATCCGAGGTACCGCTCAAGAAACTGACGCCTGCGAAACGTTTTGTACCTGCGCCGCCACGAACAGCAATTGGAGTCGCCAAGGAGAAACGCGGTGAGGCACACAAAGACACATTCACCCTCTCCACGCCGCTTGCAAAGCCGCGAAGGAAATTCGAGCGGATAGAAAGCATAGAGGAACCTTCTCAATCAAGTCAGTCAGAGCAGGATGAGAATGGTGAACCTATCATACAGTCCATTGAAGGTGGAGACACACAGCTGGGCCATTGGGTAGAACAAGAAGCAGACCGGAAAGATGAGATGCTTTTCGAATCTGTCCAGACGAACAAGCGTCGTCGCATCTCTCCAGAAAGCTCTCCTTCGCTCCAAGGACTGTCTGAACCCTCTACACCGGTACCCGTATCAAACGCAAAGACGCACCGTTTCAAAGTCCCCCCACCACATACCCCTGCGCCATTTCCTAGCATTGCAGCAGTGACGTCCATGCCAGCCGCTGCGCCGCAACGCCCGCATTTTATACTTCCCGCGCTACCTACATCGCCACCAAAGCCCTCCCGGCCGCTCCCTGAGATCTTCTCTCCTTCGCGCAAGAACGGCAAATACATACCCAACGGTCTGGCATCGACAGTGACGAGCTGGATCATAGAGACGGCAAACACTGGTTTTGCGGCGCAGGACAGGAGTGCTATGGTCTGTGGTCGTGATAAGGAGGACGGTGTTAAGTTGCGAGTAAGGGTGACTAACCTGTCGAGAGGCGGGGACCAACCGCAGAATGATGATAAAGTGGAGTGTTGTTCAGGTGGGATCGTCTTTGCACGTGGCAATACCGAGCCTGGCATGTATAATGCTTCGAGAGCAGGGAGTACAGGGGCTGAAGATAGTCCGATAAGAATCTTGCTAGCTGGTCAAGGCGGTGCTAGAGCCTCGGGAGGTGTGCTCGTCAAGACGGGGAGCGTGGTTGGTATTCGCGCACCCATGTGGGAAGTTGATGTTGGAGAGGATCGGTGGACAATGGCCGTGGACTGGGTGCTAACATGAAAGTACGGCAATGATTCTCATTTACGAAGATATGATTGACGAGTTATACCCACATATGCGGCAACAATGCGACTCTCTATTTGCAATGTCGTAGATTTGTTTTGAATTGTACAGCAGGTATATATAAGTACCCACACGTTCGTTCCACTTCGTTCCGGACAACTTCCTGATGTCCTTGTTTTGTTCTCACAGCGAGATAGACAGTCCTTAGGACATCGTCAAACTGATACCCCCAGCCATAGTTTCTCTGTCATGGCTCTCTCAATGAGCAAAGGGGGAGCTCGTGGCATCCAAGTGTTTACACTGGGCTCTGCCGTTGTTTGTTCAGAGCTCGGGGCTCGATATTCTAGGTGCCTGTTCACTGCCGCTCTTGGAAAAAGCAATGTTTCCAACACGCTTCATGGATCGTGGGTCATCCTCAGCATTCCAGACCTGGGCCACAAGGTCTTTAATGGTGTTTGCAAGATTTTCTTCAGAAAGATGATCGCCCTCCTCAAGGCCAGCGATGCAGTCATCAACAGGAAAGCCAGCGTACTCGATCAAGCAACGCATACTCTTAGCAAGAAAACGATCGGTCTCATAGTATGGTATTTCTTTATCGGAGGCGATCTCGTTGCTGGAGCTCTCACGACTGCAATGACGCTTTCGCTCGGACATACGCATGGCAACTACTCGTTCCGTCAGTACGTCGATGGCCAGGCAGGTGTACGACACCTACCGCTCACGCCAGCTCTTCTCTTAACCACGGAGCTCTGTGGCGTTCCGAGTACACCAGGCTCACCAGTGATCTTGATCACACCAGCTTTCTCAAGGGCCAGGAAGACATCATTCACGAGACCGCGTCGAAACCGCATCGCCTGAGTGAAGTCATGACCAAGCTGGATGAAATCAGGCCATTCATAGTCGTTATGAGCCTCATGCCAATTGAGTACGTTAAGCACATCAAGGCGACCAGTATCGGGTGTAGTGTACAATGAGACTGGCGCGTCTTTCGAACGAGAGAACTTCAGTGAAGCGGTGACCATGTGGAGAGCCCAATCCGCTGCAGTTGTTAGGCAAAATTCTTTGTAATCATAAAATGGATGCCATGGCAGGCGCAGTCGAGCCCTGGAGGTGGGTGCTCACCTGGTTTGGTGAACCGCGCGCCATCTTGCGTTGCGGAGGTGATGTTCGCCATTCTCCAATAGCGAGCGCGAAGACGGAGGCGATATGGATGAGAGGCTCTGGAATGCGGCGTCGAGTGGAGATGTGAGAATCGACGTGGACAGAGGCCTGTCGCCATTTGCACCTTCCCATTTCAAGCAGCGTAAATCATAGGCTTGCGTCGTAGGAGTGACTAGGAAAGAGCGATGAAGATAAGTGAGACAACACTGAATCTTACAACTGTGCCTCTGTAAAATAGGGTATAGGACGTCAGCTGTGATCAAAGTGTTGCCTGAGGGTCTTTGCGGTGCTTGGCCACATATTGCACTAGAACCATGGTTTGCTCTATCTATATCAATTTTCGCGCCAGATAACGTCTGGAAAACCAACAGGCCTGTAGGACGGGACAGCTCCAAAATTTTGGACACCTGCTTCATATTTCCAGTATCTCTTGCTCTGTCTCCTTCTTCTCCTATGATGTCTTCTAAATGACTTCGTATCCGCCTTCACATGCTTCATTACACTAAATACATAACGCCAAGGTGAAAGCCATGTCTTCCAACATCACTCCATGCTGGGCATGTTCTCACCCCAAGTCAGAACGCCAAGCAAGATGTCTGGTCTGCTCTCTATCCTCCTCATCGTCATCGTCATCGTCACCGAGAACACATCTGCTCCTGCCAAACACAACAAAAGCATGTTATACTCTACCCGCTATCAGTGCCACAAAATTACGAAAAGTGTGGCAACGCTGTGGCTCCGAAAGAAGTCCAGAATGGGGGGAAGCGCTCGACTTGATAAGAACACTTAATCCAACAAGACGTTGCACATCGCCGCTGAGAGTAGACGCATTTCTCGCAGAACAAAGCCCTCAGATTATCTTGTTGCAAGATAGCGACTATCTCGAAAAGACCCCTGCTATAACTCTCACTTCTGCTTCGTCAACCTCAGTGCCAACTATGAACCTTACTACTTGGCACACATTTGCGCAGAACGAGTGGCCGACCACTGATGTTCATATCACAACGACGCAGAGTGAGAAGAAGAAGCATAGAGGAAACAAGATAAATTGTGGGATTTGCAGAAAAGACGTAGAGGTCAATCGGAAGTGGCTTGAGGTCATGGAGGTGGGTATGACGGTCGAGACAAAAGATAAGGCGGAGATGCTCGAACAAGATGACCATTGTGAGTTTGGAACGATGATGAAAGGCTTGTGTTTGCAAGCCTTCAAACCGTTTCAAGACATCGTCATGTCAGACGGCTGGGCCGACGTGGACACGTGATAAAAAAGAGTACTAGACACTCCGGGCTGTTCCTAGGTAGCGAAGATCGCTTCTAGTGAGCATCGAAACGATTCTGTGATCCAAAGTAAGCTACACACGTGATCTGACTTCGCTTCTATATGCCTGCTTACATGAGCGTATCTGACGACATGCGCGTCTGCAGAATAGGTAATCTACTCATCTATGTTGATTGGGGCGTGCAGCACCGAACTGCGAACACGTACTGACAATAGATTCGCCCGCCACCTTGGGTAATCTTCCTCATCCTCTTCGCCTTTTTGAAAATCCTCGATAGCCGCTGCATAATCGGTTCCACCTATCGTCGGCTGGATGCACGTCACCAATGCTCTAGGTCGTAGATTGGACGTGGCGAGGAAGTCTAGTCGCAGCATCGCGATCTGGAGCAGCGACTAGAATCGACGTCACCGGATGCCCCTCCACGCCGCAATGCTTTTGCTTTGTTGTACCAAGGATTTTGGTGGTGGGGTCACGATGGTGTCTTCTTTGTGAGCGTCCCACGTCGCCAGGTACGACTTGAGTCGGGTCGGCCCTCATGAGTTAGTCGCTTAGTGCTCCCCGGGCCCCATGTGCGTGCCACGCCACGTCACTCAATCCATCAACCACCTCACTTTTTCCCTCTTTGCCATGACTCTCCCATACGTGCCCATGCATGCCCCTGCAGCGCCGGCCCTCCCTTGGGTGTCGAGAAGGTTGTTAGAAGGGCAGACCTTGCTAATTGATGCTTTGCCGCACTTTACGCTCTCAGGCCTTCCGGTGCCGGAAATTTGGCCGTTGAACCCAACGCTGCACCACGATCCACGCTGGCGACACAACTGCAAGCTAAAGCGCCATCGAGCCAATAATCGAAAAGCCATCGCAGCGAAAACCCCACCTTCCGGGCTTCCAACTCTATCAACCTGAACGAACTGCGTTTCCCTACGTGGACCAATTAGACATACAGGCCAAACTCGCCTTCTCAGCGTGAGCCTGTGGAAGCATGCGCGCATGCCAATCCGAGGCTTACCGAACCATTGCGCCCACAATGCGAGGCATCTCCTTACGATTTATCGCATCATGTCTTGTGACAGTTGTCCTGCACCTCTCTTTCGTCTGATCTCAGTGCTGCGTCCAGCTTTGGCCGATTGAAGCCACGCACGTTGCATACCTCCACCCTCTGTGCTTTCGTCTAGACTGATCCGTTTCTCATTCGTCTCTCCGCAATCAATGCTCGCACCCCACGTCTCATGTCGCCATTGCATGCCTACCTTTTGTTGTCATCAGCTATGGAACGAAGAAAACATCTATAGCGTGTAGCACAGCTTATCGAATATCTGGTTTCAGAACACTGCATTGACTTTGTTTGATCCACCATGCGTCAGTTCGACAATGTCTCGATATCGCCATGGGCGAACCCATACGCCGGCCCCAACACAAACACCGGCAAGAACTTCTATGCTACCGCGCCCCAACCACCGGCTCAACCTCTCTATCGCCGGGTGGTTGCGCCTCCTCCAAAATTCTCTTATACGGGCGTTGCACATGTAATTGATGATAAGCGCACCGATGACGATCAAGCAGGTATGCTTGGAATACGTTATGTCTAACACGTTCAATTGACCATTGTAGAACCAGGAATCGCCCCGACAGCACCAGATGCTTCAGATTTACCACCTGTGGCAGAAGCCACGCCAGCAGAGGCCGCACCTCCAGCCATACCAGAAGTACCTCCCCCAGGAGAACCTTCGATAACAACAGATACACCTGTAGCAACAGTCCCAGCAGAAACTATACCCGAAGACCCACCGACACAACAAGCAGAGGCTGCCTCCAGTAGTGGGGACGATGTTGTGGCAGCCGAAGTTGTGACTGAGGATGTCAAAGATGAACCTCCGGGATCAAGCGACGCCACGAGCGTTGAAGTATCACCGCCTCCACCAGCTTCGCCAGTACCCCCTAGTGAGCCCGTGCCTCCTCCGCCGCCAGCACCACCAGCGGATGCAACACCTGAGCCTGTAGTCGCTGAGAGTGAGAAGAGTGGTGAGTCCGAGCAGGCCGCTCAAGAGCCCCCGAAATCCCCAACTGAGAAGTTTGTCCATTTTGCCTCTGACACCAAAGACCCAGACGCCGCAAGTATTGGCAAGAAGAAAAAGTATGGTAAAGGCAAGCCCACCGCGTTTGTTCGTCCCAGAAAGCCATCGAAATCCGTTCCCCTTGCGTCGCCGCCGAAGGACGGAAAGAAGAATGCTATGGTTCCAATCAGCATCATGAAAAAGGAGCGAAGTGGTTCGATGTTCTCAGCGTTCACTAGTGAGAAATTGATGAAGGGGGATATGAGGAAGTCAGGAGGAAAGAGAGGCAGTGATGACGGTAGTATATCACCAAGTGACGACGGGTCGGTCGTGATCATCGACGGAGATGCATCCCCTTCGGTCGTCTCCGAAAGCGTTATCATCGAGGAACGTACCGAAGACGCTCCAGAATCGATCGTAATCGAGGCCGTGCCGCCGCCACCACCGCCGAACGATGCTCCAACTGTAGAAGACGAGGTTGCTGTTGGTGAGGATACTGTGGAGGCACAGCATGAAGCAGCAGTCACAGACAGCCCTACCACCGAAGGCAACGAGCCTGTCGTTTCCGAGTCCCCTACTGAAGCCGTAGCAGAGGAGACTACCGCAAATGATCCTGTAATCGAAGACACCTCTGCCTCTTCGGACGAGCCGACAGCAGATGCGGGTTCCGAAGGACCTGCTGCGACACCAGAGCCGCCGGTGGAAGGTTCAAGTACTATGAGTGAGGATACAAAGCCACCCGTCGAAGCGGAACCTGAAAAAGAACAAGCTTCGGCAGACGGTGTAGATGTGGTTGAGCCCAAGGTGGCCTCTTCAGACGAAGAGCAACCAGTCGAAGCGGAGAGCCCTGCTGAAGCGGCACCGGCACCAGCACCGGCGGAGGACTCAATTGTGGGCGAGGCTGCTAGTGAGTTAGCAGCGGAAGACACGACTACCGCTGGGGAATCGACTGCAATCGAAGTACTACCCTCTGCTGTAGAAGAGGCACCCGCTGTCGAGGAACAACCTCCTGCTCCTGAAGAAGCTCCGGTGATCAACGATCCGCCAATCACCGAGGAGACTTCTGCTGTTGGAGAGGTGGAAACATCCACAGCTGAAGAGACACCCAGTGGCCAAGTAGCATCATCTGGTGAAGAACCGACCTCTGCGGACATACAAACATCGGCTGAAGAGGTACCCGCGGCGGACGAGACAGTTGTTTCTCCAGAATCGGCCGACAATGAGGAACAATCTGCTCCTGGAGATACTCCAGTCACTGAAGTCACCCCTGTTACTGAAGAGCCATCCTCGGCCGAAGCATCGCCTGCGAATGAAGCGGCACCGGTTGCTGAGGAGACAATTGCCGCCGTCGAAGAGGCTCCTCACGCTGATAGTACTTCTGATGCTTCAGACACGCCCGCTACTGGAGAGACTTCTTCTAAAGACAATCCCACCGCTGACGATACCCCGCCTACTGAAGAACTACCGGTACCCGAAGAAGTCTCAGCTGTGGATGTCACACCTACTGCCGAAGAAGCATCTGCAGGCGAAGAAGCACCAAAGGCTGAAGACGCCATCGTTGTCGACGAGGTACCTGTTACAGAAGAGATGCCAGCCAGTGAGGCCACCACTATCACTGAAGTGGTAACTACGTCTGTTGGATCGCCAGCTGCTGGTGAATCAGTCGCTGTTGAGGAGACACCTACTGTCGAGGAGACACCTACTGTCGAGGATATACTTGTTGTTGAGGAAATACTAGCTGCTGAGAGAGCGTTAGTTGCTGAAATAGCAGAAGATGCCGCCGCATCAAACCCGGAACCGGATGCTGCTCAAGAACAGTCCCTACTCGAAGGGAATAAAGATGTCGAACCATCTCCTATCGCAGATCAGGAGGCTCCAGTCGAGACCTTGCTGGTTGAGGAACACGCAGATACTGCGTCCCAAAGTACTCCGAACGAAGAGGAATCTCAAGGATCTGAATCTTCAGCTGTCGAAGATGCCGTCTCCGAGCCTCCCATTTCTGAAGAAGCTCCAGAGCCCGAGACAGTTACGCCCAGCGACCTGACATCGACTGAGAATGATGATAAGATTGAAGACACAGATGCTGGAAAAGTAGAAAATGCTGAGTCAGTGGTGGCTGTGGCTGAGTCAGATAACTTGAGCGCTGACATTACGGGTGAGTCCACTTTCGGTTCACCATTGGATTGGAGGCAACACGGAGCTGCATGTCTTTTGTTATCAATGCTAATAATATAACAGAGGAATTACAAGCCGATAGCACGATCGAAGATCCAGTCGTAGTGGACACCAATGAACCTATCCCGGCCGAGAACGCTAGCGACACAACATCTGGTGAAGGCAACAGTGAGCCTAATACTGTGCAGGATGAAGGCAAGGTGCCTACGGAAGAACCGGAGGCTACAACAGTCCCTGAAGAAGCAGACCCAACAAGTGCTTCTCCGCCGACTGACGACGACTTGGCGACAGCTCCTTCCGAGAACACCCAAGCAACTGAAGTCGTGGCTGATGTAACACACGACGAGTCTATTGTACCGACAGAAAGCGTCGCCGATATGGACGATGCCAACAATGAGCCGAGTGAAGAGGCGATCATTGCTCCCATCGAAGTCGTGACAGCGGAGACTGAAGCAAACGGTGAAGATGTGGAGGCCACAGAGACTATGCAAGACATTTCCGATTGGGAAAAAGATGAAGATAACATCAGCGATCTAGAGATATCTGACTGGGAAAAAGACGATGCCGATGCTTCATCGCAGGCTGGGGAGAGTGAGACCAACCCTTCCGAGCACCAAGACTACGAAGACGACCGCATCGCACAAGAAGCATTTGAACCTACGCCAGAGACAGAGAAGCCATCAGATCAGCAAGAGCCCGAGACTGTGGAGCAGGTCCAGCAGATCGACACTGAAGCCTCTGTTCCGCCTATCGATGTCGCTGTCGAGGACAGTGCAGTCCCGACTGAAGTCACAGAGGCAGAACAGACTGTCGAAGACACATCCACGACTCGTGAACCAGAGCTGTCAGAGCAAGATGATGTTACGCAACAAATCGAAGACCAGACAAAGGACGAGGAGCCCTCATCCTCTGACACGGCGATAGAGCCTCCTGAGCCACCGGAGACGATCACTCCAGCTGATACAGCCGCAGCTGATCAAAAACCAATTCAAGTCGAAATTGACACGCCCAATCAAGACGATGTTGAAGATGCGAAGTCGACTACGGGTATCGAGGATGTCATTGGCACAACTGAGGATGTGTCTGCACCAACAGAACTCCACTCAGATCTTAGCCAGCCAGATGCATCAAAGGAGAACAACATCACCGATTCAAGCACAGACGCACAGGAGGATGCGACTGCACATGAATCGCCAGCCGATGATCTGGAGCCAGCGGTGAACGACGAGGCTGCCAAGGACAGCGAACAAGCCATAGTCTCGGCTGCACCCGATGACGTGGAGAATCCAGACGCATGCACAGGTACGTATATGCTATGTTTTTTGTGTTTCACATCTTTATGTCGTATGCACTTCTTTTCGCTGGCTCAATTACGCACGTTTCCACGATAGCGCGCCCTTGGGCGGCGAATCGGGCTAGCGAGCAGCGGTGGGAATACCCCATTGGACGCCCCATATTTTCCTCTGGCCCACCTGCCAGCACATTCTGCGGACTTTCTGCCACCGCTGCGACTAGCTTATCGTCACGTGGAAGCCTGTCTGTCGCCATCAAATTCGGGCTGCGACACATGCGTCGCAATTTGTCGACGTCCCAAGATGCGTGGTTTTGCTCCGCGCTAGCCCTGCCGCTTGTGATTTGGCTCCCGACATCCCCGTCACATCTGAATCTCAACTTCTTTTTTTTTCTGTGATTGTACTTCTACTTGCACACCATCGACATTTCTCTCCTCTCAAAAGTGGCCATGCACCACAGCGGCTGACCCGGTGTAGCCGAGACTGAAGCAGCCTTACCCAACCTCGACGACAACCCGGACGAATCATGCGCAAGCATCCCAGCTGACGCGACCAGCGAAGTCAGCCCAGACCCTGTCTCAAAAGAGGCTGACGTTGATACGCCCATTGAACAACTCGTGGTTGAAGAGGATCACACTGAAAACGCCGTGGGCAATCCATCTGTTGTTCAAGTTATTCCCGAAGAGACCGACCATGATGTTGTAGCGAGCATTGCGCTAGCAGAAGCCGAGCACGACTCTGCACCAGACATGCCGGCCAAGAAAGCACCGGAAGTGGTATGTACGGGGGTGCGATTGATTTTGAATTGTCATACGCAAAACTTTGTTCAGTCTTTGATAATGTATACTAACCACTTATAGGTTCCCGAGGACGTTGGGTCTGAGGAACCTCAACCTTCGGAGGTTTCCGTTGACTCTAACACTGGGCCATCGCCGGATGATGAGTCAGCAAAAGAGCAGGATTCTGATGCAGGAAGTGAGTCTGGGTCTGAGTCCGAAGATGATGACTGGTCAGGGTCGGAGGCATCTGCTGCGCCTTCTGCATCTGAAGTTCCACAGGTCGACGACACGCCTGACTCGGCACCCGCTCAAGATGAAACAACCAATGCCGAAGATGCTCCGCCGAGTGAAGACGCTGCCGTCGCTGCTGTAGAGCCTGACGCTGCGGCGGAGGATCATCAGTCAATTGTCGAAGATGGCGCTGGTTCGGATGACGACTCTGCTTCTGAGCTTTCCTCAAAGGCTCAAGAAGAGGAACAGAGCTCTGTGTCGGTAGAGGAGGCTGCCAATCCTGATGACGAAGAAGTTGCCGAGAGCCCAGAGCCACCAGTAGAGTCCGCCCCAGTCGCGGATACGCACCCGGGATTATCGCTCGAAGTCAATGTCGCAACTTCTGAGATCATCCCGGAGGCAGAGGCTCCTACATCAGAGGTCGATGATCCATCTGCTCCTGCTCTCGAACCAGTTTCGGAGGAGGAGCAAGTAGGCGACGAGGATGACGCCAGTGCTGCCACCCAGGACGATTCTGCCAATGACGACTCCCTAGTATCAACAGAAAGCTCCGCCGAGCCTGAAGAAGAGGCGCCCGCAGTTGTGGAAGTGCCCGAACCGGCCGACGAACCCAAGGGTGAAGAAGAGGCGCCCGAGGAAGATGAGGCTGATGATCTCTCTCTGGTGAGCGAATCCGACAGCGAGAGCGAGGCTGGAGAGTCTGTCTCGCCACCGGAAGACGATGTAGAGGCTGATGTCGACGCTACTCAAACTTCAATTGACTCGGAAGAGGTAGACGCTGGCGTACCAGAAGCCGAGCAAACAGTGATCGACGAGGTCGCTGATGCTGAGCCGCAAGCATCTGAAGCTGGGGATGTACCTGTGATTGAGCAAGAGGCGGAACAGCCCACTGAACCAGAAACGACAGAATCAGTCGCAGCGGAACCTGAAGCGGAGCCAGTTGAGCCAGAGGCTGATGTGGACGAAACTGACGAGGCGCTGGCTGATGAGGTGGACGAGGCGCAAGAACTGGCAGCGACACCAGATGAGGCCCCTCGAGAGGAGCCTGATCTAGCCAAAGAGGACGAACCCGCCGAACCTGCACCTCTAGAGGAATCAGATGATGGTCAGCGTTCATCTCCTGTTGAAGACGCACCAGATTCACTTGCTGAAGAGGCCAATTCAAATGATGGCTCCGAAGCTGCAGAGGAAGATGATGAACCTTCAGCGGTTGATGTGAGCGAAGAGAAGGATGATCAGCCGGAGGAAGCCCCGTCCGCACCGGAGCCAACACCAGCAGAAGATACACCGCCTGAAGAGGTTGTTGCAGAGGCGGTAGAGGCACCTGTGGAGTCCGCTGAACCAGTAATCGAAGAAGCCATTGTAGAAGAAGCTGCCGCAGTCGTCCAGGACCCACCTTCCGAAGCAGAGTCAGAACAAGCAGCCGAAGAACCGGTACCTGCGCCTTCCTCTGAGCCTGAGGAAGAAGAGTCACAGGCACCAACCGAAGAAGCCCCTGTTGAAGATCAGCCTGAACCCGAGGAGCCAGCTACTGCTGAAGAGCCCGAGCCACCAGCCGAAGCAGCTCCAGAGGAACCCGAGGAGCCAGCCGAGGCGGTATTGGCTCCAGAGCCAACCCCAGAAACTGAGGAACCCGCTGAACCAGCGGCGGAGCCAGAAGCCGAGCAAATTGTGGAGGACGGTGCCAAGGAGGTCTCGGTACCAGACCCAGAAGTGGAGACGGAAGAAGTCGTAGCGGAAGTGGCCAATGAAGATATTCCTGAACCTCAACCAGCCGACGACGCCACGGCGGAGAGGTCTCTCTATGTTGGTGAAAGTCCGAGCAGAACTCCACCGCCACCACCACTACCTGCTGTCGTCGCCGCGTTGGTTGACAACAGCACTGATGATCATATGGTCAGGGAGCGCGATTTCGCAGTCGAAGATGAACCGTCCACCGACACTCCCAGTCGGGAGAAGACTCGTCGTCGATATTCGCACTCCCGTCGCGAGAGCCAGCATCAGTCCAGCCGTAGGCGAGAAAGCGGTGCTAGCACCAGGGAGCGGCCAATAATGCCATCTTCGGCTGTGCCTGATGCACCAAGGACAAGACGGCGCGATAGCATGACTGAGCGCGAAGCTGAGCGAAGAAGGGAAAGACTTCGCGAGGCTGAGAAGCCTAGTAGTGGCAGCGACAGAGAGAAGGCGTATGAGAAGGCCTACCCCGAATATCGCTCACGCTACCGAGAAACCAGGGGCGAAGAGAGATACAGCAAACGTCAACCCGCTGAGGAAGTTGACGAAGAAGCTGAAAGACAAAAGCGACGCGAATTACGACGGGCCGAGAGAGCTGAAAGAGAGCGTCTCGCTGCAGCAGACGCTGCCCGCCTGAAGGCTGAGGAAGAAGCAAGAAAGTTAGAGCATCGTGAAAGACGTCGTGCAGTTAGGCGTGCCGAAGAGGAGCTTATGAGGGCAATGGAGGAACGTAAGAAGCTTAAAGAGGAGAAAAGGCTTGCAATGGAAGAAGAGGAGAGACGTCTTCGACATGAGAAGAGACGGCAGCGGCACGAGGCCGAGAAGGAGGCAAGACGTTTGGAGCAGGAAAAGATTGAGCAGGCTGCGCGTGAAGAAGAGGAGGCGAGGAGGCTACGGCGGCAAAAGAGGGCGGAGCGAGAAGCAGCCAAAGCGGCTGGTTTGAAGCCAAAGGAAGAATTGGTTGAACTTTCTCGCGATGCTGCCAGACGAGCAGCAGAGGAAGACGACGATAACGCCTCCCCTCCCCCTCCATTGCCACCCGTAGGCGACGAAACACCACCTCGTAGCGCGCCGCGCCGACGCTTGAGTACTCGAGAGACTCCACCGAACGTGAAGCGCGGCAGCCTTTTCGGCGGCATCTTTGGTCGCTCAAAGCCTGATCCTACTCCGCCTAGCTCGAAACCATCCAGATCAACTCGCGCCCGTGCGAACACGCTGGAGACGACGCCTGTCAAGCCATCGCGAAGAGAACCTGAAGCCGAACGACCCTCAAGCAGAGATCAATCGTCAGACCAGAGCCGAGAGCGTCCCGAGCGCATGCACCGCAGTCGGCGTCACTCACACAGTCAACGTCGCTTCGCTTCTGCTGAGGAGGAAGCTGACTACTACAAATGGAAAGAAGAGCGACGTTATATGCGCCGTCCCGAACATGAAATGTCTGGTGGACGAGATGGAGGGGTTTCCCTTCCGCCGCCGCCTCCGCCGCCTGAGGATCTACCTCCCCCACCACCAGAGCCTTTCGAATATGAGCCAGAGCCAGAGCCCGAATCGTTTGAGCAGGCTGAATCGCCCATGATCGAGGACGCAGCTGCCGTCGTCGGTGAAATCTCAATCTCAGACGAGGAAAGACGCGAGCGCCGTCGAAGCAGGCGTATGTCGAAACCGGAAGAACGCCCCAAGGCACGCCGTATTTCAGTCGTCGAGAAAGAGAGGCCACCGGGTCGTCGAGTAGAATCTGATCGGCCCCGCGCTCGAGATCATGGCGATGACCGGCCAAGACCGAGACGTGGTGAGACGGACCGACGTGACAGGAGGAAGAAGAAGGAAGAGTCAAGCGGCCTTAAGGGGCTGTTTGGAGGTTTGAAGAGGAGAATTACATGAGTTTGCAGTACACAGTCGAGCCACTATTGGACAGGTCCTTCTTGGGACAGACATCAGGCGTTTTGGATTGGGCGGAATTGTTCTATACCATTGACGGATCTCGTTTCATCTTAATCAACAGGGCGTCGGCGTTAGGTATAAGCATAGGATGGGTGGGCATCTGTACGAGTATGTCTGTATGTCCTTTTCTATTAGATCGATCGACAGACCTCGCGAGAGGCATTTAGTTATTATATACGACTCGCTTAAGCGGTAACACTATCCGTATCATGATTCACTAGTACGGGATGAATACCTGCCATTCTTGTGTGTGAACTGCGTTTGACAAATTTTCACGCCGAAGAGATTTGCCATCGCTTCCTTGTTGGAGAGGCATGCTTGTGATCTACTGGAGCCAGTTGTGATGAAGCCGCTAAGGACAGTCCGTGAACAGTGGATGCACGGCACAAGAAACTTCAGGAGCGGCAATGGTTTTCCCTAGCATTGAGCCCAAGACCATGGAACTCGTGGCAAGGATTGTGGTGATCTAGAAAAAGGCATTGTTATGGGCTGACAGCGTGAATGTTATGCTTCACAGCTCAAGCCGACTCCTCATTCGTCATCCACATCTCGCATGTCTTGTCGTTAACACTTGTATCAGTCCTTCTACCATCCAACATGACACACAACATATTTGAGATCGATTTGCGAGGACAAAAGAGCGGTTTGCTACCAATCGCGCGGGTTGTCGTACTCCTTGAATCAATTGCATCGGGTTCCACTCGACGACCTGGTGACTTTGCACAAATGGGCTTCAGTCAGGGTGTGAAGCAGCAACGATTCAAACGTTGAGTTAAGCACTTCAATAAGTCGATAGTACTACGCTCTAGTGCGTGGTCGTGATGTTCTCAAGTAGGTCGAACAAGCCCTTATGGCGGCACTGGTGTTGACCCTTGCTGACACGGGACGCGGCGTTCGATGCATTCCAGCCGCGCTGCACGATCCAGCTGGTGTGCAGGGGTGCAGTGCAATTATCTCAACCCGTGGACGCAAGAGCACCTGCAGCACCAAGCCGCTATGGAAGAATACAAGATGAAGCCGGGATCCTTCTCGATAAAGCAGTCCATCCGTGTAGGATTAAAGATCTGAAATATCAACCATGACACAAGGAAAGCAGGTTATCGGGGCCCTCCCTTCAGCAATCGCAACATCTGCACCTATACATGAAGTCCTCCATCCACGTGTACTATGTGTTGGCGCTGAAAGTCGTACTCACAGCTTATCAAGCCCATAGGCTTGTCGCTGGTACTGGGATCCTTCGGATACTCGCTTAGCAGTGGGCCTCATTTCTTCAGCAACATTCTGCGCATTACGAGAGTTGTCCTTCCAGGGCAAGCAAAGACCCCGTCAGAGGACCACTAAATTCCTCATGTACAACTCGACCAGCCTTCTATAACCAAGAGTATCGAATCATACTTATTGATGTAGAAACATTTAGAGGACCAGAGATCGAAAGTTACAGATCGTATCTGCAGACCCTTCGCATGAGAACATGAGTTTCGCAGATCATACCCACCGGCTCAGCCTACTCGGACATGCCATAAACGGGTCTTGCACCGGACAACATATGTCCCACCCACCGGGTCTAATGCTGGCAAAAGCCAAACCTCCTCAGCCATATGTAGAAACGTAGTTGCGGCCTTTTAACTGGAAGTGTTCGATGCCCGTCCCCGCATGCGTAGACCTTCGCGATGCTCTTTGCGCGATGTGGGCAGCCGAGCATACTAAATGGCACCTCCCCGCGATAAAAGAAGTCCTTGTCGCTCAGCCAAGTGTTTAGGGTCTTTTTCGGCTGCCTGCTCCTTACTGGTTCTACATCAACCTCAATATGCGTTTCCATGACTTCCCAACCGCAGTTCTGGCGTTGGCCGGTACCGTCCAATCCCTGGTGATCGAGAAGAGGGACTTGCTTTCGGATCTCCAGAACCGGGCCCTTGAGAATCTGAAGGCTGCAGAGAAAAATGGTACACTTGAGAGGAGAGGAGAGTGCTCTATTTTTACCGCGACAGTTCGCAAAGACTGGTAAAGGTTTTGATACATTTGAGTACGTGAGAAGACTAACATATCCCTAGGGCTTTCATGAGCGCAAACGAGCGAAAAGCATATATTAGTGCTGTACAGTGCATGTACAACGCTCCATCCCAATCCGATCCGGCCCTAGTACCTGGTGCCAGGACTCGCTACGATGACTTTGTTGCACAACACATCAATCAGACTACAACAATCCACGGAACTGGTAACTTTCTAAGCTGGCACCGGTAGGTTGTGGCTGTCCAAATCGCATATGAGATGTATAACTGATGTCACGCCTCCATATCTGCAGGTACTTTGTGTACGGTTATGAGAAGGCATTGAGAGACGAGTGCGGATACAATGGGTCCCAGCCTTACTGGAACTGGTTTAGCCATACAGACGACCTCACTAAACACCCTGTCTTCGACGGCACTGAGACGAGCATGGGTGGAGACGGTTTATATGTAAAGCACAACGGACGTGCAGGTGGCAAAGGCACAATTGCGCTACCTTCCGGCGCAGGAGGTGGTTGCATCAAGGATGGTCCATTCAAGAAGTAAGTGCAAGATCTCCTCGAAGGGATTTTACTTGCAAATTTCTAACAAAGATCAGTCTTCAAATCAATCTTGGTCCTATCTCTCCATCAATGGCCGGAGAGACTGCATCATCATCGCCACTTGCCTGGAACCCACGCTGCGCAAAAAGGGATCTTACCTCCTACGCATCTTCTACTTGGTTAACCTTTGACAACCTCTACAATGTCACCCTTGGGGCAGCCTCCAAGAACATCGGTCTTTTTCAAGATGAACTTCAGGGGCGCTTTCCCGACGGCTTTCTCGGCATGCACGCCGCAGGTCATTTCTCAATTGGCGGTGATGGCGGTGATGTCTTCAGCAGCCCGAACGACCCTGCTTTTTTCCTACATCACGCTATGGTCGACCGCGTATGGTGGTAAGTTGCGACTGCACTACATGTATGTGAGACAAAGACTGACTTCGCACCTCTACATATACAGGCTTTGGCAGGCGCTGCACCTCAACCAAGCCAAGTCCATTGCTGGCACAATTACTATCTTCAACCAGCCACCTAGCCGAGATGCCAGGCTTGATGACCCTATCCAGATGAACTACCTTAATATGCCAACGATAACCAATGAGGAGATGATGAGCACACTAGATGGAGAACCGTTATGCTACATCTATGCGTAGAGGACATGTAGTGTGCGTTACTCTTAGTAGTGAACAAAACCCCGAATTCAAATAGTGTGAGATGTTTCAAGAGCTGCGTTACTTGATACTTCCAAAGGAAAGGCACTGTTATCTGTGTTCAAGACTATACAACGTTTTGACGACCCTTTGCTTGGCCTTAACTGCGTTCCCAGCTTGTGCATTGCCACCTTGACCAACATCTTTCTTCGATCAAACTACAATTTACTGGTGGCTCACTTCGTCTTGTACAAAAGCACCAATGTCTCATAGAGTATCAAGCGCCAGCGAAGCGAGGATACATGGCCACATCAGCACACAGGAAGCCGAGCGAGCCCGAAAGCGTCACGGCCAGAATCGTGGGCGCAACGCTCGACAATCAGGTGCGTTAGCTCGCGCAGGACCAATGAAAGTACAATGCGTATCTATCAAACTCAAAGAATGGGAGCATGAAGACTGAGGTTCACAGTAGGCATCGGGATAGAGTTCGGACCAGACCCGTGGTCCAAGAATACTCGAAGGACGGCCCAACCTAGCACGCGAAGCTAAGGCACGTCACGACGTGCATCTCGACACTAAAGCTACTGCATAATAAGCTTTTTGTGTTAACCTAGAAGAAATCGGCCTAGGAGCTCGTTTGGACAGAACGGATGTACCCACCAGTGAAAATGCTGTGATACATTTAGCACGCACCTGCCCAAATCTCAAGCATCTTCGTCTGGAACATAATATTCTTATCACAGAATCTTGCGTCCCACCCATCTCTGTGGCATAACCAAAGATCTTGTTGCTTAGCGTCGGCGGCCAAAATCGTCGCATTGACAGCTTAAACCCAACTGATCTTATGCCCTTGGCGGACGATCCGGTGATCTCCGTCCGCACGCCCAAACTCAAGGATCTAGACTTGCGTCATGCAAACCAATTTCTGGGAAGTTATGAGAACCATTACCGGACAGCTGGGTAGGAAGAATCCGCTGGGTGTGCATTTCCGGTATCACAACGTGCATTAGGAGGAGATCTTCAAGACTGGCAGGGAGGGGAAACAGATGATGACTGAAGCCCAGCGGGTACAGGTGGTGCCCTAAGCAGCCTTATGTTTTTAGCATGTGATTCGGGTGATAGTGGTCTTCCGAAATACGGCGCGAGCGAAGTATAATTATACACAGTGATGCTTTTTTTTGTGTTAAATTATACTCTGAGCTATTCGGGATCGAATTTACAAATCGATTGAGGTACATGGTTGTGTAAGACTTGGATGGAAGATGAGAAGTTGAGTGGTTGTGAACCTATGGTTGATGGATTGATGGAATACTAAAGTAATCCTACTAGCACCTTACGTGTACGCGCTAGTCAGCAGTCATTGCCATCCTAGGTCCCATCATTTACGCAGGAATAATATCGGCCACGCTCCTCCAGAAGTCGCATCTCATGCCGCGTCCATCCTCCCACGTGTATGCATTGACAAGTGTAAAGTTATTCATGAGACCTGGTCCGGTGAAGTAAGTCGTGTTGACCGGTGAGTTGACATTCAGCGAACCAATTGCCATCTCACCACCTGTCTGGTTGAGATCGAGCTGGTACGGTTCGGCAACCGAGAAGGCTGGCCATTGAGTTGCGGCTGTGATATCTGCAGTATTGTTGGACGAAGTAGAGCCAGCTGCTACGGAAGCCGATATGGATGGGTTGCCTTGAGTGATGAAATTTCCCCAAATGTTCATGAATGCGCGCTGGAAGTCGGCGCTTAGGTATGGCACCGAGCCTAGCTGTCCGAAGTATCCTTGTACGTCCGCACCATGGGTGGCTGGGAGAGGGCTGAATTGGTACTTGTACGATGTACGATTGTTGCCAGTGTATGCTTCTGCCATCCAGTATGACGGGCATACGAAAGTCAGTTCAGCGTAAAGGTTGTTAGCACGCTGCTGCTGTCCTGTGGCAAGCGAACTTTGATCGAGCGCACTAGGTCCATTGACACCATTCGTCGCAAACTCATCAGCACTAGAATCGTTCGCAGCGTTGCTGATTGGGTAGTAGCGCAGCACCTTTGCGATGTCAGAGTCGGTGAATTCGGGCAAGTTGTTGCGAAGCCAGGTGAGGAAGTCGTCTTCGGAGGTGATGTCTTGAGGTACGAATAAAGGCCCCTCGTTAGCATTGTTGCCGATCAATGCATTTCGCCCATTCACGCGATTTTCAAGCAGCTGGCTGCTGGGCTCATCTTGAACGAAGACATCGTCGGTCACTGGCAAGAAGGCCCAAGTTCCGAATGTCGCAGTGTTTGTCACATCGACAGAAGCACTCTGTAATGTCTCCGTATCTTGTGATACCAAGCAATCAAAGATTGTGGAGGATGCGTTGCCATATGCGGTAACCGAGCAGTCTGCACGATCGGCAAAAGCATAGTAGTTCTGTGACGGAATCCAATGGTCGTAAGCATACTGTTTGGGGAGGTATGGCGACGCGGCGATGGTGCTGCGGAACAGAGAGTCGCCCAGCGAGCCACCATAGGCCATATCTTGAAGCATGACTGATCCACCGCCAGCACTTTCACCAGATATGGTCACGGCTGAAGTGTTACCTCCAAATTGTTCGATGTACGCCTGCACCCACTGAAGAGCGAAAAACTGATCCAAGAGTCCCGCGTTTGCAACACCTTTTCGTACTACTTCGTCAGACGCGAGGAAACCAAACGGTCCCAGCCTGTATTGGATTGAAACGACGACAAAGTTATTTCCAGTCGTTGTAAGGAGTTCAGTAAAGTCCTGTCGGCCATTACCAGCGCCATATCCGCCACCATGAATCCAAACAAGGACGGGAAGATCTGACGCGTTGGCTGGGCTTTGAACGTTCAGGAAAAGGCAGTCTTCCGAGGTTGGTGTTGTTGCACCACTTGATTGCAAGCTCGGCTGTCCGTTGAAGCCGACTTGTTGGCATTGAGGTCCATAAACATCGGCGGAAATGGTTGAAGTTCGGTTGACGGATGGTGCTTGGGGTCGTTGCCAACGTAAACTACCGGTCGGTGGTGCAGCAAAGCGAATTCTTGAAGCAGTAGATCAGCATCAATTCCTCATTAGTGATGGATAAGCATACCCTCGCCAAGTGTTGATACCAGTACTCGTGTTGCTGGTACCCTGGTAGACTCCATAGCCTAGATCGACTTCTAGAGCATTGGCCGTAGTACTCTGTCTCTTGTCCAAGACCTCTTTGAACGGCTGAGGATGAGGTAGCGCAGATACCGCACCCGAAAAGGTCACAACGCTTGCGATGAGGGATGACAGTAGCATGATGATGAGTGGAAGCGATACACACAGGTCTGAACTGGTGCTCAGCTGCGTGATGCACAGGTACTTTTAAATTGCATGCGCATGCTGGGTTACCAATCTCGGACGCATCGTCACCGAAGACGACCGGACTTTGATTGACCAGGCACTCCGTTCTCGGGTGAAATATCGTGCGTCTTGCCAAGATGTGCTAGATGCTACGAGTGAAGCCGTCCATTGATCCGCGACACTAAAAAACAAGCCTTGCGGCGGGATGACGCCTAGCTTTTCCAGGTAGGATACAGAATACCCAACTATTGGCTAGCTGCCACATAACGGCTGCCATGATGTGCCGAAGACTGGGATTTGAGACTCTTCGGCTCCTAGCTCTCGGTTTGTATAGAAAGGACGGCATGGGTTACCGAGGATCCACCCCTCAAAAGAGCGATGAAGTCGCAAATTGGATATTAGACATACCCCGCATGCTATTGTTCGGATTTAAGGTCCACTTCATTTTTTTGCTATCCTTGACGTCTGGTCCGTGTGCTTTGGTTGCTAAGCATCTCGCGTTCGCTCTCTCTCTTGTAGCGATCAGCGTCGGAAGTCTCGGACTAGTATGGGCTTCGAACATTCAATGTTCTACTCTTTATTTATGTCTAGGAGGCAGTACGAAGGGGCTGTTGACCTTGTACGTATCTATCTTGTACGCGAACATGACGTTCAACACCTGCATGTGCCGTTTGCGGAGTTAGGAGTTCTGCGGACGCTGATTCAGTGATTGCATCATGATGCCTCTAGTGTGTTGAGATCTAGCTCCAGAAGCGAAGGTAGAAACACCAGTTCTGCACCTCGTCCTTTTCCCCGGAGTCTGTGGTCAATCTGGATCTCGCAGACGGCAGATGCAGAGATCAAGTGTGAATAGTACGCGTCCTGGGTACGCGTCCCGATCAGAGCCACTGCTCTGGTACCTACCAAGGCCGGTAGACACCCTCTCTTCTTCTGCTTCATTTTGGATGCGAATGCCAACGAGAAGAGCAATGCGAATGCTTGGCCTGCGAGAGTTGGTTGCAGCACCTTCAAACTGAGGACATGTGTTGTTGCGATGGCATCGCGTCGGTGGCATCGCGTTAGCTATTCCTCTCCGTTAGTCCCCATCTGCAGTCGCCTAGCGTGCTTGCTCTGCGCCTTGAAACAATAGCTTTTAAAGGGCCCAAATGGTATCGCCAATGTTCATACGACTCTTCAACACTACCTCTTGTATCAAAATCGCGCAAATTCGCCTATGATGAGAGGGCGGGGCGGCATCCGGGAGACGCTCATCGGTTGGTGCTACTAGGCCTTGCTGTATCCCGCACCCATGGAATAAGGAGTCGTCGGAAACAACGTTCGACCCCTCTGGCGCACCGTCGTCTGGCGTCAGGTGTGACGATGGGAATAAGAAGCTCTATAGCTCTTCGTGCTCCCAATAGCTTGCTGATGAGGGTGCATGCAACCGAGTGCTACGGGCAGGTAAGCGAGGCATTGTGATTGGGTTGTATGGCCGCTGCACCTCTCGACTCCGCCACCACGCCGGAGGATACGGCACCAATAGCTCGTGTCTTCAGTCTGACAATAGAGGCTGAGCACAAATCCGATATTATGGCCTCAGCCATCCATTCCTCCTCCGTTTGCCTTGCGAGGACAGATTCGAGCCTTAGACTTTTCCCTCCCTAACCCTGCTGCTTCTGTCTTTGCTACAGTAACATTGGCGACATCATGATCTTTGGCGGCCTGGAGATTGTTGCGGGTGGATACCTCATCCACCGACACTACCGGAAGAAGAACGACAAGGAGCAGCTTGAGGCAGAAGCCCAGAAAAGGCGCCATAACACGTTTCCTGGTGCCAATCCGGCGAAGCAGAATGGCTGGAACACGCAAGCTCATCACCGTCCTCAACACCATCAGCAGCAGCAGCAACAACCTGCGGTACCACAGCAGAAGTATGCGTGCTATGCTCCAGCGGCACAGCCTCGACCACCGATATACCAACCCCAATGTCAAACTCAAGCCCAGCCTCAGTACCAATCCCAACCTCAATGCCGACCACACGCGCTTCCCCATACTCAGAGCTTCAACATTCCGCGGCGGCCTGTACCGCAGCGGAAACCTCAGATCATCATACAACCTTCTCTCCAACGAACCGACTCCTTTGCGACGATATCGCGTATGCCCATCGCGAACGGCTCACGGCCACAAGACATACCTGAACAGACTAGCCCTGCGGCTGGTCTTTCACCTGTACCACAACATGGCATCTATGGAAATGCAGGTTTCTCGGTGTCGACACCAGCTTTCGGTGCGACGCCTACATCTCCTGGGCTGACCTACGAGTTGGCTACCGAGCCTCAGGGTGGTGCTAGTCAGACTATTGATGACAACTGGGAGACATATGGACATGGCCATGGTGGTGGAGGGCTACATTATGCGCCCACTGTGTCTACTGAACTGGGCGAGCGGGATCCGCCGCCTCCTTATACGCCTTGATATATGCATGGAACGTCTCAAACCTTTCTTCTCTTCTTTTCGCTTCATTGCGCTATCTTCTACTTATTGTATACTTTAATACAAATATTGAGTACATATGCCCTTTGCAGGACTATTGTCTGCCATCAAATCTCAGAGCTAGACCTAGTGCCAGCTCGGTGGATACGTGTATGCTGTCACCGAGCTGAGTCTCGTCCGCAAACAGGTGCAGTAAGGAGACACCCAGCACGGAACTACACAAGACAAACATCTGCTGTCGGTTACAAAATCTTGCATAATGTGTTATGCAGTAGTGTCTTGCCATCTTGCCATAACTGCGACACCATGCGAAGAAGCACCTATTAGGCGTTTGCGCATGGTGGAGGCTATGCAATATCGGCGACACCACTCAGCCTCGCCCGCATTTGGTTAGTGACAGGAGGCATTGGGTGTTATCCTCCCACCTCTTCCTGTTAGTTTTCGCAACGTCCTGCATCTTACAACAGACTAGGTGTGATGTTCAAAGTCTCTTTAGTCGTCGCTTACGGTGGCTGTTTCGTGATTACATGGTAAACTTGGGCTAGGCGACCACTGATGCTATAGTACCGTTATTACCCCTTCCAGATCTAGTCCCATCTCCTTACTTATTCAAAGTGAACACACATGCAACCTCAATAAAACATTTCCCGGCAAACTTACAGAATGCCCGACTCAACTACCAAATTAAGAATTATGCCAAAACTCCAATGCCGTCAATCTTTGACAACCTCACGAGTAACCCTGGTCAGATGATTCCACCAGCATCTCCCGCCCTCCACGCTTCCGCCCACTCCTTGACCGCTTCGTAGTCCCTACACACCCTCGCTGTATCCCAACCTTCGGTCCCGATAAACTCCTCTCCATCTTCACCAACCATCTGATGGGTCACTTCTAGGTTGGTATCAGCAGCACATATGAGTGCTTGACGCAGGTACTCAAAGCAGTGAGCGATGTGGCCGGGATCGTCGTCCTCATCTTTGGCCGACAAAAGAGCCTCTATGAACGGGTTCGGCTTGAACACTGTAGGGGACGTATGTTCATGGCCGTGTCCGACGTGATTTTCGGAGGATGATTCGGGCTGAGGCCGAGACCGATGAGAAAGCTTAGCAGAGCAACAAAGAGGTATCCGCACACGTGCATGCAGGACCAATGCCAGGGCCGTCGAAGCCTTTTAGCGAGCAGCAAGTCTTCATGTGCATCATGTTCCTCTCTCGGAGCGGACACGCCTGGAGAGATGCATGTGTCATCTTCCTCCTCGGTCGAGATTGACAAACGACGATACGACTTGGCTTTCTGCACAAAGAGGTTGAGGCTCAACATTTTACATGATAGAAGAAAAAAGCGCCGCTATGCTGCGGTATTAAGAGCAGGCTCATATGTACATGTGACAAGGCCCATGCTTGAGATATTAAATTGGTTAGATTGACTCTATTGGCAAGACTGAAGACCTTATTCAGGATAGAAAAGAGTAAGCCCTTGGACACGGGAAGGATGCGCTAGGATGTGGGCGTTCGGATTGAAAACGATTAGGGATATCTTGATTCGGCAAATCATCAGAAAACTAGCCTATCAATTCTCCGCGCTGGCTGCAGTATCGCTACCGTCATCAAGGGGTCTCGTACAGTTCCTCGCCATTGGAAACCCAGCTGCCGTGTGGCTAAATATACTCACGTCTGTCCGCCATAGTTCGCAGAGGTTGGGTCGTATGAATAGAGGCTAGTTTAGCTTCTTGTTGCCGACCGTGACCTGTCTGCCTTGGCTGCGCTGGTACTGGAGGAAGCCGAAGACAGCAGCAGCGACAACGCCAAGCATAAGGACATTGCCTGTCGCGTGGTCAGTATTTGCGCTTAGGCTGGCACGCGAGTCGGGGGTTTCTTTGCCCACTTACCGAGTATGAAGCTAACAATGCCGCCAGCAAGGTCCACAAGCCCACGGAAGAAGTTAACAACGAGGTCGATGATCTCAGTAGCGAAGTTGAGTGCGAACTGGGCCGTCTTCTGGACTAATGCTCCGGCAGTAGTGAAGAAGGACCACACAAGCTCGACTAGGGACTTGAAGAGGTCGCTGAGCGCGTTGACGATGGAAGACATGTTGGTTCGGCTGTACTTGTGGGTAATGGTGAGTGGTGTGGTGTAACAGGTCTGAGGCGAGATTGTTAGGTGGAGATAATGCGGTGGAGCTTTAGAGGGAGAGTCTTGTTTGTGGGAAAAGTTGTGTTGGTTCGTGTGCGGTAAGGCGCGACTACCATCAAGACATATCGATGACTTCCAAGACACGGAGAATGACGCGGGGCCTACGTGAGAGTGTGTGAAACTTGCTGTTCCAAACAGCTGTTGCCGGCCATCTGGAGGGCGAGGCCTGCCTCTTGCTTGCCTTGCATAGCGTTGCTGGTTGGCTCTGCGGGTGAATGGCCGTTGTTGTGGTGAGATGTGACGTCACATGTGTAACCTGGATGAACGCCTGTTTGTGCAAGAAAAATATGACGAATCAGAGAATATCAGAGAAGGCACGATTTTGATGGGCAGAGACAGATGATTCGACGACAGAGAGAAGCAGATGAATGTTCTGAAGGGAAGGCGCGATGAGAGAAGGGGATGCTGGCCGTTGCGGGTGGATGGCAGTATTCAGCGCATACCCACGGTCGTTTACTGTTCTAGTATTGCTACATGACGTGTATCCTTTGGAGGGAGATGGTAGACTGTTGATACGGCGTGTATGCCTAGAGGCGTGTTGGGGTAGAGGGAGGTCGTGGCCATGGCGGCTCGGCAGCTCGGCTTGAAGCGGAAACCTCGTCGTACCGTCGCTTCCTTTGTACCACGGCAGCGCAACAAGATGCCTACCTTTGACAAACTCTTAGCGAAAGGCAAGGCAAAGCTCTCGGAGTTTACTGGGCAGCCTTCAGGCGGCCATCACCAACAAGGCCACCCGAACCAGGGCTATCCGGGCCAGCAGCCTCCTCAAGGTTATCAACAGCCTCCCCCAGGCTATCAACAACCACCTCAAGGCTATCAGCAGCCACCGCAGGGCTATCCTCCGCCAAACCAAGGACAGTACACGGGGAGCCAATATCCCCCGCAGTATCCGCCTCAGAACCAACAATGGGGTCCCCCTCAGCAGCAATGGGGTGGTGCCCCTCAGCAACAATGGGGCCCGCCGCCTCCGCAACAGCAGCAGTCTTTTGCACCACCCGTCCCCCAGGGTAGCAAGCCACACACCCCTCAGCCTGGCGGACCGCCGCCCATTCCACAGAACAGACCGCAGTCTGCGCAGCCTCCTCCGCCACAAAACATCCCCCCACCACAGGGCGAGCGCGTGTACTGGAAGCCGTCCTTTGACATTGCGACGCCCGTGTCCCAGAACTTCCGGCATGAGATTGGCGACCATGGTTGGGGCAACGACGAAAAGCAGATGTACACGGACAACGCCGCGAACTCGTTCCACCACGACAACCGCCTGATTGTACGCGCCCTCGTCCAGAACGGGAGCTACACTTCTGCGCGCTTGACCTCACACCAGACGCTATCGCGACCACGCGGATACTTGACGGCGACCTGCCTACCCCCTTCCGCACCAGGCATTTGGCCTGCGTACTGGATGCTACCTGCTGACCCCTTCAAGTGGCCGACGGACGGCGAGGTCGATCTTGCTGAGAGCTGGAACGGCGAGACAGAGAATCACTCGTGCTTGCACTGGGGCTCATACACCGGCGAAGACGCACAAAAGCATCGCGTAGTCAAGACATCCCTGCCGGACTTGGCACGACAACCCCACACCTACGGCTTCGCTTGGATCGAAGAAGAGGGCATACCTGGGTGGAGAGGGCGCATGATCTGGTACATCGACGGTCGGCCAGTCATGAAGGGCAGCATACCTGAGGGCACCCGACGCATGGAAGACTTCAGGATACTCATCAACATCGCTATGGGCGGCACTGTGAACCAAGGAAAACTTCCAGCGGACGGGTACTACGACTTCGTCATCAGCGATCTGAAGATGTGTGAGGAGCCACAGGGTGGATGGCAACAATTCGAGCATGCTTGGAACAGCACGCCTGAAGGCAAGGCCATGTAGCGACACTTACTTTCAGCTGATTGGCATACCACGTTCTGTCTTTAGCTTGATCTCAGATACTCAAGTACCAGCTGAATGCATCTGTGCAGCACATGCAAAGTGGAGGCACTTCACTACGACTACCCACCTGTGAGCGCTAGTGAAAGTTCTAATCCCCATCTCTCCTGAACCACTGACAAGAGCAACAACTGGTTGCGGGCTGAGTTCCAAGTAATATTCCACTCCTTTATCCACACGGATTTAAGCTTGACAGCCGCAGCACGAAGCACCATCAGTACAACGCTCGACTAGCATTTCAGTCTAGCAAAATACCACTTACATGGCCACTTCCAGCAAAAGCTTCCGGTTCATGAGCCTGTGAATCCGTCACCGAACTATGTTTCGAAATCGGAGGGAAACTTTGGTCACCAGAGTCGACCAGGAAATGAATGAGATACCCAGATGGGCCACCAGCACTATATGCCAGACTAACTATATGGACTCTAGCGCCCCTTGTTCCTTCGGCTACCTACTATTCATAAGGCAACATATTGGCGATTCCATGTTCCATCCAAACAAATACCTAGCCACGGGTAATCACAAACACTCCAATATCCATTCTCTCTCTTCAGACCCACGAGATCACCATGTCCGCTCCGCCACTTCTAGCACTGCCTGGCGAGCTTCGCAACCGCATCTACGAATTCTGCGTCGAACCCAAAACTTTGTACATTCCGAGGTACCCCAAGCGTACAAAGAAGCATTACGCACATGCCCGCTGTCGACTGTATGGCAGCCTTCGGAATGTGTGTCGGCAAATGCGAGCAGAGTTCGGATCACTGTACATGGCCAAGAATGTTATGGTCCTTCACCAAATCACCGCAAACGCATTTCTCGAAACTTTCTATCCCGAACTGAGGCAGCCGGAAGCCGTCAGCGAAGAGTCGCTGTTAGAGCGCAGTACCGCCGATTCTAGCGTACAAGGCAACATCCTGATTATGACATACTTCAACCAGCGATACGATGCTACACCCCTCGCACGCCTTTGCATGAAGCATCCCAACTTCAAAGTCACTTTCACCGATGCGAGTGCGTCCCTCCGTCTTGCTGTCGTCCTAGACGACTTCTTCGCCAAAATCTCGTCCGGTGTATTTCGTCCGGACTTGGAACGCCTTATCCAAAGAGTCGACATCTCCTGCAGCATGCTTCCTGAGATGCGCTTTACTTTCCATTCTAGACGCGCAATGGAGGATCTTTTTGAACAGGATGGAGCTGCGGATCCACGGCAGGCGCTGATTAAGATGGGTGCGCCGCCTATGAACGCTTTCGCTATCTTTTTCTTAGCTGAGACTGAGGATGTGTATAAGCGCTCTGCACCACTACTTTAAGTAATCATGTCTGGAATACACTGGCCCAGATCTTTTTCATCGCCCACTTCTCATGACTGAAATGATTTGGTTGTTAAATGTGAACAGGTTTTCTGTCTACCAAACTCTCTAGCGTGTTTGCAGATTGATTACGTACTGCACGTGAAGGTGAAGCCCCGCCACCAAACACCATGTAGGCACCTGGCGTTACGCATGATCCCCCGATGCTTGGCGGTCGCATGCTCTTCTCCGCTCATTCATCTCTTACACAAGTATTACCTACGACCGACAAAACTCCGTGAATTTCGTTCATGGTTGCTGTGTAAGCGCAGAGGCAGCAGATTACAATGAGCACTCAAGACAGTCGACTTCTTGCCCTACCAGGCGGTGCGTGCTTCGTTCGGATCAATCCAAACATGGCTGACATAGTATACAGAACTGCGAAACAAGATCTACAGCTTCTGCGTGGAGCCGGTGGCTGTCTCGCTACGTCTCCGCCACGAAGACAACACTGAGCCAGTGGGAAAGTTCCGCTGCTTAATGCAGACATGTCGACAAATCCGACGCGAATTCCAACCTCTCTATAAGAATCAAACCACCATCCGGCTAGAATCCACCTACCACTACGCTCGGTATATCCGCGATTTCTACCCTCCAGCTGACGAGGATACTATGTTGCGTTACCGTGGAAGCATCATCAGTTTGATTAACCACAGCTCTGATACGCATGGCGAGAAAGAATTCTACGATGCTGATATTGCTCGTGTAGTCCAGCTTGTCGCACGATCGCCTAATGTACAATTCAAGTTCGAATTACATGAGCGTTTGCGAAGATTTAGTGCACGGCACGCTGTCGCACAAATGAATAGCATGCTGGCGTTGTTTGCTGATCCTTCCCACTCGAAGTGGCGCGACATGGCCAAGGCAATCAAAGAGCTGAGGCTCAGGATATGGAATAACGACTCGAAAATAAGAATCACCATGAACGAAGAAATGGCGAGGCAGTGGAAGAGTATGGTCTTTAAGATTTGGGACGACGCAACTGAGCCCACGCGTAGCATACGGGAAATCAGGCTTGCATATGCTGATGCAAATGCAACTTGGCGCCCTTACGTTCGTCGCTACGAGTTCCCTTTCGATGACTATCGGGACAAAACCATAAGCTGGTCATGGAGTGTTCCTTAAATGAGCACTAAGTCATTGAGATGGGCTGCGTATCGCGAGTAAACGCAGCGCTATGGTGATGGAGATTCGTGCAAGGTTGTTTTTGATGTCTTGGAATTTTGGATTGGGTTTCACGATTTACCGCTCAACATTGCATATCAGATATCAACTGAAGGATATTTCCTGTTCTCGGGATGGCTGCTCATTAATGCAAGCGGCGTGATCTTTGTAGATTTTGACATATCTTACCTTTTCTATTTTTCATCCGTATTGCCCGGTCGCAGACGAGGCCCAGTAGTAGGGCTGGAGTAAGCACACTACCCAGTCGAGTATTGGAATGCTTCTTCACATCTGCATCCCAATTCCACACCTCTTGGAAGTAACATCATTATCATGTACGCTACTAATGTTGATGGATCAGCGGTCGTGAGATGCTTGAGTGTACGCTCGCAACCGCGGGCTGTGACATCACAGCAAGCTCAATATTGCTAGTTGACAAGACCCTGCATGCCTGCCACGCGCCTTCTACGCGACGCGATTTACGATATAAGTGCAATCAACAGCGCTGACCTGCGAGTTGACAACACATTCTCCTTACCCATATCATGGACAGATATGCGCCCGAGTTGTCGATGCTTCGTTTGAAGCGACGCCGTGACGATGACCAGCGATGCAATCACTATCCGCCATCGAAGAAGATCGCCCAGGTTACACTACCTCTTTCTAACTTCATGCGACTTCCCGGGGGTAAGCAAGTCCTGTAAGCGAAACGTTGGGCGGTTAGGTAACATACGTGTCTAGAGCTTCGCAACCGAGTGTACAACTATGCTACTAGTGAAGCACCTTCTCAGCTACTCGTACCGGTCGAGAGCTTCCAGCTCCAACAGTAGGCCCAACGTGCTACCGGAATAGCGATGACACAAGTCTCTCGACAGATCCGATCTGAGTACCGGCCCATGTGGCTCAGACACGCAACGTTCGTCATCGACTGGCACTCCATTCACGCGTTCTTACAGGCTTTCTATCCAAAGGAGAGCGATTATGGCAGGGGTCCCAAGGAACTGATCCTGCAGTACAACCAGGAACACGACTATACGTTCAGAAAACCGACGGACATCACACATCTAGTACGCCTGGGCTTAGCATTCACCGGGTTGCAGATACGCTTCATCAAGGGCGAGGAAAGTGACGACCAGAGCGACGCTGGGAGAACTCTCACAGAACTGGTGCGGTTTGGTTGTATCAATCGTGATGACCGCCAGAGAGATAACAACGTGGCCGCCGAAGCCAGGCGTACGTGGCGGTAAGATATACAAGAACGATTGGTTACCAATATCTTCGCTACACAGAACTCTTCAGACAATATTCTAGTATTCGAGTGTGTATTCAGCACAAAATCTGCTCTGGAGATAATGTTGCTTCATTCCAAGATATCGGCAAGGAGGTAGGTATTATGGTGTTGCTCAAAGATTTCACAAGCACTCTACACTCATTACCTGGCTATAGGCTTCTGGCAACTCGTCGATACTTTCCCAGTTGAATCAAAGGCAACTAGAGCTGAAGCGCGCCATCATGAGCTGAGTATCATAGTTTTGAACTGCGAGTAGGTTCGCGAGTGAGTAGCCCTTCATGTACCGTATATACCCAGTACATTCCAATCTTTCATATGGAAGGTCCTTATAGCACTGTGATGAACATTGAACGTACTCACCTTATTCTTAGTAGTTGTCCTAGATGGATCACAAAGCAGTATGTAGATTCAGAGCACGGGGTGTCGTGGTAGTGCTGTCCCGAACGAAGACGACATGGGACCGACGTGTGTCAATCTCACTCCATCTTCGAAAGCACCAAGACACATACGTACGGTATGCTCATGACTCATATACCTGTCAGGTATCTGGTGAGGTGTACCTGGCGCAATTTACTCTCACTCTTGAAGGTCTCGCCAGATCCGCGTTTAGTAGCAAACGACGTGCCTTCCAAATATGAGCACCACTCAGGCATCAGTACTAGTAACGCGCTAACACCCTTGGAGGGATTGCTTCACTAGACCCTTCCACCTACCCTCTCTCAACTCACTCAATCGTTCTTTACATACATTGATAGCTACTACTCATAGCTGCGACCACCACAAAGTCCCTTCGACGAAACATCCTAGTGCCGATATGAGGAGTCGAGAAGACTACTTCCGGTTTCTGGACCTGCCAGCAGGTAGGCGCAAGCTTGCCAATCAACATTACGACTGAGACTAATATGTCTATTTAGAGCTGCGTAACCGCGTATACGACCTCGCCGCCAAGACTCAAGCCGACCTACCGCGCTGCGTACTCCCATGTCTTGCACTTGCGCAGGCCTGCCAGTAACTTCGTATTGAGTATCGGCCCATTTGCATCAAGCGAGATATCATTATCGACTGGGAGAAGGTTCCCGGCTATATGCGCACTCTTTTCCCTACAGTCAACGGCAAGACCGAAAACATTGAACTCATACCAACGAGCATGACAATAGTAACGCCTTGGCGTGAAGAGCCAGGTGAAAGTGGACTTCAGCTCGACATACTTCCAATGATCAAAATTGGGCTGTATCAACCTGGTTTTACCTGTGAATTCATTCACGATGCTGAAAGCTTGGAAAGGATGAAAGTTCCTCCTTCCAATCCCGAAGACCCTCATTTCGGGGACCTCAGGGATATTGCAAAATTTCTCCATGAAGATACTGCGCCACTGAGGATTGTTATGAATCATCGTAGTGAGGAGTGGACATCGGACATCGAAACCGGCAGGATCACTAAGATCTTATTGTGTGATATCGGTGTGCTTGAAGAGCCAAAAGCATTGTTTTATGTCAAAAGTGGCGGTCTGAGTCTGGGGGATGAGTCGGGTGATGTGGAAGAACAGGAGAGGGATATAGAGCATGCTTACTTCGAGATGGTAGGGCTTCTCGACATCTATCCGGGCGAGTTCATTAATTTTCCTGGCTTGAGGCTCGTTGAACAATCGTATTGATAAGGAAGTGTGTACGAGCCGGTGCCCTAGCCGAACCGTGTCTCACTTAGTGACACATCACACGGAATTCCCCTAAGCTTTGCTGGAAAAAAAATTGGATTCTTCGTGGAAAGTGCATTCTCAGCTCAGATACCAGTTTAGATAATTTGTAACATGCGTGCTTGTAGCGTCGTTTGCAACCACTGCACACTCGCTCCCCATGAACACAGCGATACGGTCTCCTATTCTGGCAGGAAGGTGGGCGTCATGGAAATTCAATAACAAATAAGATCGCGTATCACCGTCCACTCGCTTCCACTTCTCTTTCTCACACTATTCATCAAATGGCCCAGCTTTAACGTCAATTAAAAGGTACATCCTTCCGTAGTACCACCATCTCAAAACTTGTTTTACAGCTCCAAACGCCTGGCCCTTCCACCTTCTTGCGTACTTCTTGATATCCTTTCTTACGCCAGTACACCCCATTAATACAATCCGCGGCCAAGATCCAGAGCGTCAACACACCTTCGCCCTGTTTCCCCTCTCTTTGAAGTGCAGCTCTCGCGTTCGCAACAAGATGCAACTCGAGAAAGTTGAGCAATTGGACAGCAAGGCCACGATGGTGATACTTTGGATCACCATCCACAGACACGATTTTGATTTCCCACCCGCTCTCTTTCCCAGCGCCTTCTCTTGCCCATCCGCCTTTCCAAGGTACTGCGGCGGCGCACGCAACAGGCTTCCTATTTTCCTTGCCATTGACCTTTCCAGCCCCTTTCTCAGCGCCGGATTCACCAAAGATCAACGCGATGACGCTGCCTTCATCTCCAAGTAGTGTATGTAGCTCCCCCTCATTCGAAAAGCGGAATGTCG